GTAACAGGAGAGGATTCAGCACAGAAAGGTGTTTGATTTTGGTTAATTTTCCTTTGATATACTCTTCCTGTTGAATTCCCAAAGGCCCCTGCTCAGGCTCTGGATCCCTCAGTGCGAGGGCCCACGGTGGGGAGATCCCCATGTGAGGGAAATTACCTGGTCTAAAGTAGCAGCACAAAGCGTTTTTTGACCACAGCTTTCTTCARGCATTTCACATTTTGGAATGTGCTTTGTATCTGCAGATCTGTATTTTGGAAGGTTTTTTAGTCATAAACTTGCAGTAATTGTTAATTTGGTAAACGTCAACTTCCCAGGTTTAAAATTAGCACCTTTGGTAACAAAACTCCTCTCAGTGTTCCCCAGCACACGTTTCCCAGAAGTCGGGCCTCCTGCCAAGGAATTTTCATCTATTGACTCAGTGCTGGCAGAGCCAGAGCGGGGCAGTGCCTGCTCCCATCCCAGTGCTCTGCTGTAGCTGGGAGCCGGTGCCCAGTCCCTGTCACTTCCCAGCCTTGTCTGCGGGGAAGATGTTTCAGGAGGTTTGTTGTAGTTAAGGACACAGAAACAGTGTTGAAATACTGTGGATAAAGATGTTCTCTTGGAATTACTGTATCATTGCCAAGACTCAGCACTAAGGCAGTTGGCTCTTCCTCCAAGAGAGCTCCCTGGAGTTTATAAACCAGGCAGGGCTGGCAGGACTTGGAATTCCCTGGAGTTTGTAAACAGGSACTGGGTTGGAGCACATCTCATCGTGTGGAGTCCTTGCCCACGTGCCCTCTSTGAAGTCTCCCAGATAACCCAGTGCCATGGATGAGTCCCTCATGGCCAGGCTGCCCTTCCTCTGGAGTTTKCACCTGATTCCCAGCCTGGTCAGGCTGGGGCCGAGCCAGCTTCTCAGTGTTGAGTGGAGCTGTTTAAGCAGTGGGTGTAACAAACTTAATTAGATGTGAGCTAAAATAATGCTGCTCCAAATTCAAGTCAGCTCCATGGAATGTGGAAGGGAAGCCGAGTCCCTTGCAAGTGCCAATTAGCCAGGGTGAGCTGGTGGATCSACTCGGATGTCTCCTTGCTTGGATCAGCACATCCCAGTGGAATGTGGGGCTTTGCACCCCTGCCTCTGGTGTAGCCTCCCAGAAAATCCCTGCCTGGCTTGTGGGGCCCTGTGTATGACTGCTGTGATGTGGGAATAACGAACTTCAGGACTGAGGGATTGGATCTGACCTGTAACCATGTCCTGACAGGTGATTTGAGTGTGAACTGGGGCTTGTCCAGTGAACCCATCGAGTTTGCAAGCTGAGTCTAAACAGGCAACTAAAACTGGATTGCTGTTTTGAAATTGGGAAATGTTTTTTTCATGGGAAGGGTTGTCCAGCCCTGGCACAGGCTGCCCAGGGTGGTGGTGGAGTCCCCACTCCTGGAAGTATTGAAAAAATGTGTGGATGGGCTCCTGGAGACATGGGTTAGTGATAAACAAGTTAGGCTTGATGATCTTAAAGGTCTTTTCCAAAGTTAGTGATTTCATGAAGACCTGGTCAAAACTGTGATCTTGTGGCTGTTGGAAGTTGGAATTCCTGCCTAAGTCAGTGCTCCCTGTATCCTCCTCTGCTTCCTTCCTCTTCCTTCCTTCCACAGCCTTGTGTGCTGGGTGTTGTGTGGGCAGCAAATCAGGGTGGTTTTCCCCTATGCTCTGCAGTTCTCTCTGCARCTATGGGAATGCTTTTCCCAGCAGAGGAGAGGGTCCCTGGGAAGGAGCAGCTCCCTGGGGTGGTCTGTGCTGGTTTAACGTGGTTTCTGGTGGGCTGGGAGTTTTCAGCAGGGCTGTGCTGCATCCACCCCTCGGTGACATTCAGTGTCTCATAATACCAGAAATGAGAATAAAGTCCTGTTTATGTGAGGTTGTTTGACTGTTCRTGACCTGGCTGTTGTAACTATTGACACAAGCTGATTGTTTGACCAAAACCTGCCTTTTTCATGGTAAGAACTGGCCCCAACCTGTGTGGACAGTCCCAAAACCCCCTGAGGTACAGCTCCCATGGCTCCCTCAACTCTTGACACGAGATCAGTGGGTTTGTGGGCATTRGAAGAGGTTACAGATATCTGTAAAAGAATCTTTAACTGTTTTGCAGGATAACTGGGATGATGAGGAGGAAGAGGAGGAGGTAAAGGAGACAGAGGTGAAACAAGGTGAGACTTAAAGGCACCCCCTGTCTCAGAACAGACACTGTTGTAGTCTGAGGGGCTGTGAGGATCCTATGCAGGGMTGGGGCTGGGTTTAACAGAAATGTCTTTAAGTCTGTGTTCAGTCACAGTAGCTGAGCATGGTGGTTTCCAGTGTTTCTATGGTTGTGGGTGGGGAAAAAAAATCATCAGACCTCTGAGAGCTATGTTTGTTGTTCCATCTTTTACAGAACCAAAAGTTTCAGAAAAAAAGAAAATAGCAGAAAAAATCAAAGAAAAAGAAAAGCTACAGAAGAAAAAGCAAGAGGAGCTTAAAAAAAGGGTAACTCCTGATTTCTTCTGGGTCACATAGATTTCAGAGGGCAGGTTTGAATTTTTGGAGGTTGAGCAAAATACGAAAAGGTCTTGATTCATCTGATAAACGAAATTTAGGTCTTGTATGTGATTCCATCCAGGGCTGGGAGCTTTTATTCCCCTGCAGATTAATCAGTGATTGGAACAATGTTTTCCCAGTTCCTTTGTGTGCAGCACGTGATGGGACAGGCAGGAGTGGGAGTTTGTTGTTTCTTCCCATTTCCTGTGAAATGAACAATTTATTGACACTCCAGGGAATGGGTTCCAGGTTTTCCATGGCCTGACTGACTTGAGGCAGAAGTGGGTGATTCACTGGCCCTGGAGAAAGCASCTTGTCTTTAATGTGCCACATTCTACCTGTGTTTTCCATCCAGTTAGAGGCACCCGAGGAACAGAAGGAGCTCACGCCAGAAGAACAGTTGGCTGACAAACTACGGCTAAAGAAGTTACAAGAGGAGGCAGACCTGGAGCTGGCAAAGGAAACCTTTGGTGAGTTAAAGCAGCAGAGAATAAACCTCTGGGACCTGTGGGACCCTGCAAAGCCTGAGCAGGGTTTAGCTCAGCACACGGAGCTTGTGGCACTGAATACAAAGACGTAGCAAAGATGCTGATGCACAGCAGCATTCCTCAAACATGGAAGCGTTTCCTTGATTATGGTGAATGATTCAGCTCATTGCTCAGGGAAGGTTGTGCTCAGTGAGTTGTCACAGCACAGTGCTTGGGRAGTGCACTGAATACAGCTGTAAAGAACCAGCTCAGTAGTTCTCACTCTGGAGCTTGAGGCAGGAGTTGTTTATTTGAGGGGAAAAGGGCTTCCTGGTGCAGGTTGTCCAGAGAACAGGAACAGCTGGGTCAAATTACTGAGTTTGACTCAGCTTCAAAAATTTTTGGAGAGACACTTTGKACAAGGGCATGGAATGACAGGACAAGGGGGAATGGCTTTTCCACTGACAGCAGGCACTGCTAGGTGGGATATTGGGAAGGAACTCCTTCTTGTGAAGGTGGTGAGGGTGCCCAGAGAAGCTGTGGCGGCCCCTGGAAGTGTCCAAGGCCAGGTTGGACTGGGTTTGGAGCACTCTGGGATGGTGGACGGTGTCCCTGCCCATGGCACAGAGTGGCAATGGATGGACATTAAGGTCCCTTCCAACCCAAACCATTCAGAGATTTTATGAAATTGCTGAGCTTTGCAGCAAATTTCCTTCCTGCAAGGCCAGGGATGCGCCCTGGCTGGGGAGGGGGAGCAGAGCTCAGGGARGTGGGAACTGGGTGGGAGCCAGGTCCCCTTTTAGGGCTCACAATTCATGTTCTCTGACACCCCTGTCTGYCCCTGCAGGTGTAAATAACACTTGTGGAATAGATGCCATGAATCCCTCTTCAAAAGATGACTTCACGGAATTTGGGAAACTCCTCAAGGAGAAAATCACACAGTACGAGAAGTCGCTACATTACGCTGGGTTTTTGGAAGCGTTGCTTCGGGACGTCTGTATTTCCTGTAAGTCCAGACAGCCCCCAGCACTGCTGCCAGATCTGTGGTGGAGCTGAAGTGGAAAACATGCTGTGATAGTCAGTGTTCAGAGGGGATTGCTCTGTGTAGTTTGTGCTAAATGAAGCACTGACCTGATTCCATTCCCACAAACTCCACTAAGGATCCTCTCATGAAGAGCTACGCTTTCTGCACATTGGTTAGAGTCATCTAAMAAGTGTGAATTTTTATGCTGATGTAAATCCTGCATGTTTTTCTTGAAACCATTTCTAAAATAATGGTAAATTCTTTGAGGCAGATAGAATTTGAGTACCTCATTTGGAGGGAACTATTGCAAAATTGAGTCAATGTAATTCTGGAACTCCAGATTAACTGTTCTGGAATATTCASCATGTAACTATACAGAGATTAAGTAATTTAAACTCCTTTTCCCACTGCCCTGGTGGCTGCACAGCTCACTGGGATCGTTCCCTGTCCTGTACCCAGTTGTCCTTCAGGGAGGGGTAACTTGATCCCAGGCAGAGCTGGGTAAATCCATCATCATGGGTGGCACCTGGCAACTTCCATCTGATGGATTCCAGAGCTCCTAACAGGAGGGACTCCCAGCCTCTTGCACCATTTATTGATAAAAATAGTAATTTTGTGTTAATCCAGTGCTCCTTTTGATACGGAGCTCCTTTTACTGTGTTACCATCTCCATATTTTACTGTTCAAATGCCTGAGTAAGACTCTTGCATTCAGTAACTTTATTTGCAAGTTTTAACCTTCTACAACACTCAGGCTCCCAAGGGACCAGCTGGAATCCTCACTGGGATTGTCAGGACCAGAACCACCCACTCTGTGTTTTGCAGCTTTAAATCAAGTAATTGCCCATCATTACACTTATGCTGATTTCTAGTTTTAGAGACTATTGATGTTATTTAACTGCTTTATAAGAACAACATTGGTAAGRAATCTTTCTTTTTCCTTTTTTCCCCTGATGCAGTGGAGGTGGATGATTTGAAAAAGATCACAAACACTCTGACAGTATTATGCAGTGAAAAACAAAAACAAGAGAAGGTAAGACTGGGGCTGTCCCTCAGGGATCACAGCCCCTGCTCGGGGCTCCCCTACATTTATTAGCTTCTTGTTGAGAGTCCAGGGGAAATAGGATGAAAGGCAGGAGAGGGCAGGCCTATGGTACAGGGAGCTGGGAACACCTGGAACTGGCACAGCTTTCCTAGGAGGAGAAAATGTGTGTGGTAGAAACCTCAGTGCAGCGGGGCGCACAGCTTTCCTAGGAGGAGAAAATGTGTGTGGTGGAAACCATCAGTGCAGCGGGGTGTGACTGCCCACTGACCCTGGGCTGGAGTAATGACAGAGCTCTGGGCCTGTCCCAGTAACCATCCTCATCCTCTTGCCACAGAATAAAGCCAAAAAGAAGAAAAAAGGTGTTGTGCCTGGCGGGGGGCTGAAGGCGACGATGAAAGACGACCTGGCCGATTACGGCGGCTATGACGGCGAGTACGTACAAGACTTTGAAGACTTCATGTGACATTTATCTCCCTTCTTTTGTCTTTCTGTTGCCCATAATCCCTTAAACATGTAGCACAACTTTTCTTCCTTTAAATTCTGCCAAATGCTACAATCAGAATTGCAGTATCTGTGTGCTGGGGGCTGGAGGTGCYGGGTCCGGGCGCAAGCTCCGGGCAGGGGCAGAATGGAGAAGGTCTGTAAATTGCAGTTAAAAACCCAAAATTCTGGTAACAGGCACTGTTGCTATTTAACTTTATGGTGACAGCTGCCACATTGGGAAGGAATTGAACAAGGTGAAGGATTCTAACCAGCACAGCTCCATGACATGGCCTTAACTGTCCCTGCTCCAGGGCCAGGCCTGAGCATGAGCAGTTTGCAGCAAGGGCAGGGTGTGCACATAGAGTTCCAGTTGCTTTGTCTTGTTAGAGCTTGAGGATTTCAGTATTTTGGGAAGGGAACTGCTACCTTCAGTGTGGAATACTGCACCTGGGAGTGGGTCCCCTGGGACAGCCACTGCTCCACAGCYTGACACCTCAACAGCACCTGGTGGGGCAAGGCAAAACCCACTTGTGTCTCGAGGATGAAGTTTCGTTCCATTAGTTTAAATTTCTACTAATGCAACTGTCTGGGTTGGGTGTTCTTTAACAGTTAATTAATGGGCTAAGTGTAAAAAAAAAGAAAAAACCAAACCACACAACTTCCTTGGGGCTCTCCTGGGTTGTGGTGGGTCTTTCATGACTCGGCCGTTTCCTTTCATTAAAAACCAAACTTGCTTAGCAAACTGCAGCAGTTCCTACAGTTGGGCAAATTGTTATGTTAACAATTACAACATCTGCAATGTTTTATAAAGCAACTAATTTAATAAAAATCACTATTGAGGACTTCACCAGGCTGGCCTTGGAGCAGTTCTTTGGAGCCTGACAGGAAAAATACCTGAAGAGCTGTGCTGGGGGRGTACCTGTGGCTTGGGCCTGGAAAGGAATTTATATTTAATAACTGTAAAAATACATTTGCACTTGATTGTTTCTTTTACTCCAAGACAGCAGAATTAGGAATGTGCTGTTTAGAGCTGTRCAAGACTTTGGAAATCAGACTGGACTCAAAGAACACTTTATGCTACTGTGTACCTGAAACCTTCACTGAATCTGCTTATTCCACCCCCTTGTCCTGATATTCTGCACACCAGTTTCAGCCTGTTTGGAAAGAGTTTCTGGGGTGCTCCCTCCCTCATGCCACTAATTTAAAGGGCTGCTGGATCTCTGCTTCATCCCCACCTGGGCCAGATAGTATTTGCTGGTGACTCAAATTATTTATAAACATAAGATTTATTATACAAAACACTGTTTTAGGTTAACACAGTCATAACATTCTAAATACTTACATCGCTGTCCAGTTTTCTGGAGTTATTTTTACAGAGCAGCAGAGCCCTGTGAGCAGGTCATTGATAAAATCTGTGTTAATCAGCACTGATCCTGCAGTCTGTGCTCTGGGGCTGGAATTCAGCTGGAATTTAGTTGGATAAGAGGTCATTGAGGCAGCAGCCAGTCTGAGGGTCCTTCAGCAGGGAGTTCACCACATCATAGAACTTGTGGTCATAGGCCAGCCTGTAGTARGTGTAAATGTCCTCGCAGTGGCTGAGGAACCGCTTCAGGTTCCTCAGGGCAGCATCAGCAGAGGGATGTTGTTTGACCCTGGAACAATTACATGTGGAACTGAGGCACAAAAGCTTCCCAAGCCCTGGAACTCTTGCCCTGGGCCTGCAAGAACTACATTTTCAACAAGAGGTTGTGCTCAACACCTACATTTGAAGCTCCTGTTTGTTTATTTGCTCTGGTTCATTGTAAGGATTTGCTCTACCCAACCCTAAGCTCCCTGCTTGTCCAGGAAAAAGGCTGGATCAGAGCTACTTCCACGATGTGCTCAGGTACCCAACCTCCCAMCAAATCTGTCCCTCTGAGGGTGGGGAGGCCCTGGCACAGGACACAGAGAAGCTGTGGCTGTCCCTGGATCCCTGGCAGTGTCCAAGGCCAGGCTGGATTGGGCTTGGAGCACCCTGGGATAGTGGAAGGTGTCCCTGCCTTTGGCAGGGGGTGGGATGGGATGAGCTTTAAGGTCCCTTTCCACCCCAACCATTGAGATACTGGAATTCTGTCTCAAGTCSCTGTATAAAAGACTTTGCGCAATAAGAAGCCGAACAGTTTGACACCTTCCTCCTTCCCCTCTCAAGGAGTCTGTGCAGGGAAAGCTGCAGTTTGCCCCCAGARCCCCTCACTCACTTCTTGGCCACCTCCTCAAACAGGCCAGGCCGCAGGGGCCGCTGCTGCTTGAACTCCTCCAGGTACACGAAGTCACCCCTGGTGATCACCTGCTGGAACAGAACCTCGGCCCAGTCTGGCAGGAACTCGTAGGCCTCAGCCACGATGGCTGCCTGCAGGGAAAGCAGGAACAGGGAATGGCACAGGGACACTCCATACGGAGAACTCAGCACTGGAGATCTTCTGTCTGACCTATCCCATGCTGCTGTGGTGCAGAGAAACACAGKGTAACAAAGGGCTGCCAGTGCCTTCCCCAGCCCCTGAACAGGGATACCYCCTGCCATCCCAAGGTGCTCCAAGCCCYGGCCAMCCTGCCCTGGGACACTTGCAGGGATCCAGGGGCAGCCACAGCTCTGGGCACCCTGTGCCAGGGCCTCCCCACCCTCACAGGGAACAATTCCCTCCCATCTGGCCCTKCCCTCTGGCAGTGGGAWGCCATTCCCTGTATCCTGTCCCTCCATCCCCTGTGTACCACGGGATATAAAGTTGGGGTAACRGTCACAGCACTCGGAGGCCATGGGAAGGAGCCGAGCGCTCGGGCACTGCTGTGACAAATTCCTGACAGAGGGACATTGAGGGGGCCCAGCTCACCTGGTAGAACCTGGGCAAGGCCAGGATGGCAGCAGGCAGCTCCTGCCTGCTCAGGCTGATGATCCTCGTGCTCTGCCCCGAGCCCAGGAAGTGCAGCTGCAGCGTGATGAGCCGCGTCAGGCGGCGGCAGCGCAGCGCCTGCCGCACACACGAGTCCTGGAACAGACACCCCGAGAGCTTCCACAGGAACCTGGACACAGCCCTGAGGAGCTCTGAGCTGTGCCGTGACTGAGAGCTGCAGCTCACATTCATCACAGTCCACCAGTGTTACACAAAGCTTCATTCCCACAAACACTTCCACCATAATTATGCCTGGTTTTAAACATCTTGTTTGTTCTAACTTTGCTAATKAAGCTCATGATCCCTGCTCTGAGCRTGGGGAACTCACCTGTAACCCCAKGGGTTAAAGCCTGAGCAAGGGCCAGCACTGCACACTCAGTACTGGTGCTACTGGGCTGCAGAGATTCCTTCTGCCCTGGGCCAGGACCCTGCACACCCTCCCCAGGGCAGCGCGGTGTGTTCTCCCAACCCAGCCCACTCCTCCTGTGCTCCCAATGCTGCAAAAGCCATTCCATTCCATCGCACTTTACCTTGGAGTAACTTTCTGCTGCATCAATGAAGAGAGTCAGAGCTTTCAGCAGCAGCTTCTTYAAATTTGCAACATCCTGAAGAGACTCCTCTGAAACAGGGAAAAAGAAGGAATAACCWATTATTTTTAAAGGTGACAAAGTAAGTTACAAACATCACTCCCAGTGTCAACTGTCCCCTAGTGTTGTCCCAGAAAGTACCAACAGACTAAATGAAATTTTTTGTATTAAAAAAGCAGGAAGAGACACACTGCCTGTTCAGTTAATGGATCAACACTATTGCTGGAGCCTGGTCAAGTGATTGAAGACTAGGAAGAAACCCCAACCACACATTAGTGGCAGATCCCAGCACTGACCATTGCCAGATCCATGCAGAAATCCCTTGGCACAGCCCCTGGTGTAGGTGCTCTTACAGCACTGGCTGCCCAATGTGCCCCACAGCAGCTCCCCATGTGCAGACCTCACCCTGTGGGTGTCACACACCCCTGCACAGACACAAACCCCTGCAAACCCACTGTGCCACATCCTTCTGGCTGAGGAAAAATGGGCTGTGCCCATATCTGCTCCATGTGAGGCACCACAGGACATTACATCATGGAAAGAGCCAAAAATCAGCCCTTTGGAAACACCCAGGTGATGGTTCAGAGCAAGAGCCCGGCAGGCAGGAGCCTCCCCCAGGCAGCGGCAGTCCCAGGGGTGTTTCAGCACACAGACAAGGCACTCCCCCTCCCATCCTTSCCCCGTGGCCGCTCACCCCAGGGCCGGCACTCGATGAGTTTGAGCTGGGTGCAGGCAGCAGCCTCGTGGTTCTGGCCGATCTCGCGGCACATGCTGAAGCACAGCGCGATCATGTTGTGCTTCTCGCTGTCACCGGGCCGGCAGCGCTTGGTGTAGTCCAGCAGTGCTGCCTTCAGCGTCCCGCTCTGGGCACAAAGRGCACACTGAGCCTGGCTGTGCCACATCCTGCACCCACCAGCCATGCTGGCACCAAAAAGTGACTGTTACACCCTAAAACCCAACAGCAGATCACACCTGGGCTCAACTGGGTACCAAAACCCAGCACCTGTGCATTTCTTTACAAACAAATGTCCAAGTGTGACATTTCTAGATGACTTAATTTATTTATTTYAAACAAAGCTATGAATATTTATGATTTTTAAATCCATGAAACTTTAATTGGAAATAAAAGCAAAGCAGAACATGAAAACCCTGAGAGTGCCAAGTTGAACTTTCAACACTACTCYCATTGTAGCCCTGAACTAATTAGAAAAAAATAGTTCCACTAAAATGAGAATAAACCCCAGAATTAATTTATTTCTATGGAACTTGGCTCTCAAGTCCTTGCACTCAGGAAGTAAAACACCTAGATAATTCCACCCTGTGCTAACACAATTCCCTGCCCGTTTGTCCCCCACCTACCGGGTCCAGCTTCTTCCTCATGAGCACCTCGAAGTAGTGCTTCTGGTGCAGCAGCTCRAAGATGTAGGTCATCTCGTTGTACCTGCCGATGCCCGTGAGCAGCCGCACCTGTGGGCACCCCGGGGATGTGAGGAGCTCCGGGGAGCTGAACAATCCCTGCTCTGCCAGGGACAGCACCGGGGCTGGGCCATGCACACCAGGCACATCGGGCTGGCACCTGTATTTCTAAACCAACCAAAACCTTTCACAAGAAGCATCGTTTCACCTCATAAAAACAGGCACTGGCATGTCCCAGACTCCATCAGTGCAAGACGCCCAACAGCCCAGTGACACAGCCCCACCTTCCACCAGCAAGTGAATAACGTGTCCAGCACATGGCCAGGCCCCCTGGYCCACAGACACTCACCACCAGCCCGTACTCCTCCTTGGGGGCCAGGTGCTCCTCAGTGAGCAGCCGAGCTGCCTGCAGCACTCGTGTGATCCCCTCCATGTGGCACGTCAGGCTGAAGCAGCTGTGAGCCAGGATCAGCAGCTCTGTAACTGAAGAGCACAAAAACTCAGATATTTTGGTTAAAGGACTGAGGAGAAGAATTATTGCCTCTCTCCAGGAGAGAGAATACAAAACACACACAAAATATGAAACTTCCAACCTCCTCYACCAAAAGCTGACAAATGTACAACACATCATCATCATCCCACTGCCTGCCAGCTCTGACTTTGGAAAAGGAAGGGCACAAGTTCTGCACTTGGGTTAGAAAAATGCAGTTCCTGTGATGAACATGAACCAAGTCCCAATACTCCTGTAACAAACCACCAGGACAGCTCAAGTCACTCCCCGACKGCATTTCCCACCTCTTGCTCAGCACAAAAAATCTGTATTTTGTTTGGAAACTAAACTGACACAACCCTTAAACAACCTTTTCTACTGTGCATATCCTCAGCTCTACAACTGAGAATCACATCAGATCAGCAGCTCCTCTTCCTTGGGCTGAGTTCAAACCACAATGCCCTGTCAGGTACACACAGGTTACACCAGGCAGCATCTGCCATTTACTCACTGCACGACAGCTCCCCACGGGGGACAGAGGAGATTTTATCCAGTAACTTCATCCCAACCAAGGTGTGATCCTGGCACAGCTTGGCSAGCTGCAGGAATTCCTGGCTCTCCACTGCAGGATTCCAAGCCTGCTTCTGTCCTGTGGCCAGAGAGGGAATTGTCACCACAGCTAATTGTGCAGCAGAGAACTACTGTTAATTTTTTATTATTAATAAACAAATCCCAAACAAATCAACCCRGTGTCAGCCAGACTGATCGAGGACTTGGGGCTACAATCCTAAGGACCCTTTGGATGTTATTGCTTAAATTTAACAATCAGAAAATACTTTTTTGCCAGTTCAGTCCAACAAAATCTTACTGGACAAACTTACTGCTGTCCCTCATTTCAAAGGGAAAAAGAAAGGGAAAAAATATTTGCCATTCTTTACAAAGGGAAATGCACATAATTTTCCCAAGTCAGATGATGTGGGGCAGTACAGACGACAATTAAAAATCCTTTTAAAATAAAATACTAAATTTACATCCATAAAAACACAACCTCAATCACTGCAACACCACACTGAACCCAGAAATAACTGCAAATGAACATTTACACAAAGCTTTACCCAAGGCACACAACGCTCCCAGAGCAGCGCTGCCCAAACGCTCGGGGCTGCAATGAGGGCTCAGTCCCTCAGTCAGGGGAGCTTTCAGACCCACCAATCCCTCCCCCAGGGACAAAGCAAGGCTGTCCCACCTTTTCCCGGAGCCGAGGCCAGCAGCAGCTCGTGGGCGATGTGCTGTGCCAGGAGCGGTGCCACGGCCGCGGGCGGCAGCCCCTGGCAGGCGATGAAGGCCTGGGCYCTGCGGCCGCGCTCCGGCCCCCGGCGGGACAGGATGGCCGCCAGCACCTCCTGCGGCTCCCGCGCCGACACCTCGGCAAAGGAGCAGCCCAGCTCCTGGGGACACACAGAGGAGCTCAGGGGCACAGGGGCACGAGCAGGGACACTGCCCCAAGCCCTGGGGACAAAGAGCTCTGCCCTGAGGAGAGACTGTCCCTGCACAGCTCCTTGGAGCCCCCCCAACTGCCATCCCCCTGAACCCCCTCTCCCTGAGCCCCCCCAGCTGCCATCCCCCTCAGCTCAGATCCCTGCAGCTCCAGGAGCAGAGCCCACCTGGTTCCAGGCTTTCCTAGAACCCCAGGGTGACAAGGTGTGCTGGGGACATTGTGGGAAAGGCCATCAGAGAGACCTGGGTGGAACTGGGGCTGGGGAGGCTCAGAGATGGGGCTGGGGGGCTCAGATGGGGCTGGCAGGGTCAGAGATGGGGCTGGGCATTGAGCCCACGGCAGCGCCTCATGCCCAGGACACCTCTGGCCTTGTTCCACACAAAGGGTCGGGAATTTCACCCTGTGCAGCCCCTGCTAAGGACCTTCACCMCTTTATCCTGCCCTCTCCACCCCCGGCACAGCTGGCCCAAAGCCCTGGGGGTACCTTGGAGAGCTCGTAGAGGCACAGGACCTGCCTGCAGTAGCCCCTGCCATGGACACATTCCTCTGTCAGAGCCTTCAGCGCCGCCACCACCGGATCATCCCCACACGGAGCCCCCAGAGGGGTCCAATCCTCCAAGCTGGATGCTGGGACCAAAAAAAAAAACATCAATTCCTATCTCATAAAGGCAGGTAACTGCCTTACAYTTGGGCAAGATGCCCAAAATCTGCAGCAATTCCATAATACTTCCACAGTCTTCAAAAACTGAGCTCTCGATCCCCATGATTTTTTAAAGTCTCCATTTGTTTCAGGGTACAAACAATCTAATGGAACACAAATATCCTCAATGATATCTCAGATATAAAATTCCTAATCATAAGAWTGTGTAAGTGTTCATCAGCCTTCCTGATGACTTAGGATTCATTTATGCTCCTCTCTGTCTATYCAGCTTTACACATCAGTACTGGAAAGYCAKGTTCCAGCTGAAGCTTTCTCACTCYCACTTCACAGACATGCARAGAACTTTACAGATAAAYAARGCCTGAGCCTTGCTATTGACAAGAAACACTCAACCTTTTATAATGCTCAAAGAAGTCAGAAAAATATTAATTAAAGCATTTCCTTGCTTCAGCAAAAAAAACGTAGTGTGTATTTTCTAAAAGCATGGGAGGCTTTTTAGTTCTGGCCCAGTGCTGCTTTACTGGGCCAGAACTGAGAACTATAGAAAATGAAAGGTTCACAACCCATGGAAATTGCACACAGAACAACCAGCCTGGAGCACACAKGGCAATGCACATTGCAAGGCTTCAAATTCCTTCCCGAGAGCATTTATGAACCAAGGGGAGAAGAAAGGGTCAGCAGGAGCTAAATCAGTTTGGGGGGAACACGGTGGCAGAGGGAAGGCAGGGCAGGGGTCAGTGCCAGGGGGTTCAGGGTTACTCACTGCTGGGGGCTCTGCCCAGCGCCACGCTGCCTGGAGCTGTGCCCTGTCCGGCCGCTGCCATGCTGCCCCGAACCACGCCTTCTCCAGCCGCCGCTGTGCTGCCTGGGGCCGTGCCCTGTCCGGCCGCCGCTGCGCTGCCTGGAGCTGTGCCCTGTCCGGCTGCTGCCGTGCTGCCCCGAACCACGCCTTCTCCGGCCACCGCTGCCACGCTGCCCGGGGCCATTCCCTGTCCGGCCGCTGCCATGCTGCCCGGAGCCGTGCCCTGTCTGACCATTGCTGTGCTGCCCGGGGCCATTCCCTGTCCGGCCGCTGCTGTGCTGCCCGGAGCCGTGTCCTGTCCGGCCGCCAGCAGTGCCCGCAGCTCCGGCCGCAGTTGCTGCAGCCCGGCCTCCCCCGAGGCCAGTGCCCGGCACTGCAGCACCAGCGCCAGGTCCCGGTGCCACAGCTGGAAGTAGCGGCACACGCGGGTGGCCTCGGACACGCTGCCCTCGTCCAGCAGGGTCCCCAGCAGCGTCCCCAGCGCCGCCCGCTCCGCGTCCCCCAGCGCCGGCGGGGGCTCCCCGGGAGTCAACGCCTCCAGCCCACAGAGCCCGGCGGCGCTCAGGGCCGGCAGCTGGGAGAAGGAGAACTGCTGGGCCAGGCTGGTGAAGGACGGGGCCCCGGGCACCCCGGCGGGGCGGGGACACGGGCACTGCCCCGCACCCTCGGCCACCAGCACCCGCTGGGCGATGCGGCACAGCCAGAGCTGCTTCTCCACCTCCTCCAGCTCCTGCACGGCCACCTCGGCGTCCTGGGCCAGCCAGTGCCCGGCCAGGGTGAGCAGCAGATGTCTCTCCATAATTCCAGTTGYCTTCTCCTGCCCCGAGGATTCCAACACGTGGTTGGCCTGATCGAGGAAGAAACCTGCAGCAGCTCGGCTGGAGAGAGAATGTTTAGTGAAGGTGTCGTTGCACTTCTTCCAGAACTCAGCTCTTGTCTGGGTTTGATGCCACTGTCCAGAGTCTCTTAAATGTTGCAGATCTCTCAGAACCTGTAAAATTCACAGAGGTTTGTCACAATTATCTTTCCAAGAAAGAAAACTCCAACTCACACAGCATGGCCAGCATTGAAACACTGGATTTAGGTAAGTGCCCCAATGTGCAGCAACTCACAGAACTTCTTAGGGTTGAAAGGGACATCAGAAATCATCTCATCCCACCCCCTGAAAAATGGATGGACAAATCCTTATTTTAATTCCCCAATGAAACTGATTGCATAAAAATAAAAACTGTAACAGAATAAGGACAATTGTCCTTGTCCTCTGCAGCTCAGCACTTACAGCTCGTGTATGTGGGGCACTGGCATTTAAAATAAAAATACTTTAAAGAAAAATTAGCATTTTGGGAAGGCCTAATGTGCATCCCGAATCCTGGTAGCAGCAGGAAGGAGAGGTGACTGTCACTACCTGCACCATACCTCGTGTGTGACAACCCCATCCATGGGCAGCTCGGCCAGCGCTGCCACCTCCCGAGCCTGGCTGAACATCCCTTTCTCCTGCAGCTGCTCCAGAATGGACCTGCACTCCCCCTGGAATGTCTCCAGGCTGCAGGAGCTCAGGATGGAGCGGGTGATTGGTATGGAGGAGCCCCTCAGGGATTCACTGAGCGCACAGAGCTTCTTCACATACGGGCCTGGGTCAAAGAGAACAAACAGCTCAGGAGAGCTGCGTTTGAACCCTGGGGAAGCCTGAACTTCCCTGAGGATTCAGCCGTGCCAGAGGCTCTGGGGTTGATCCTGTCCTTACCATCCAGCAGGAGGTTCTCTGCTGCAGCCAGGAGCTGTAGGAGCTTTCCCAGCTCGAACTCCGTGCGGCTCTGCTGCGGCATCAGCTCCAGGAGGAACAGCGCCTGCGCCTCCAACCACGGCAGCGGCAGCGTGGGGGCTGCTGCCCCTCCTGCAGCTCTCAGCTGTGGGAACCAAGAGCTTTAGGGTCAGAGACACTGGGCACTGAGAATGGCACTAGGAACGGCGGGCATCTGTCCCTCCCCAGGGAACAAYGACCTGCCATTCCCAAGGGAGCACAGACCCATTCCTGATGGGACCTGGACGGGGAACATTTCACAGCAGAGTGACCACCAAGCACTGCTGACAACCCAGGGAGAGATGAGAGGTGTGAGCAGGGTCACTAACAGCCAGATAACAGTAACTGTGGGACAAAGTCCCTGTCACTGCTGGATCCTTCCCAAGCACATCTGCTCATGAAGGGAAAGGAAACTGAGCCTGAAATTCGGGAAGGAAAACCACCAATGGCAGGGAATGTTAGTCACCAGCATATTCAGGGAACCAGAACACTGGGATGGAAGGGAAAGAACAGAGACAAAGAGCAGGGTGTGAAAGCACTCTGATCCTCTTAACCCAACTGCTAAATCCCAGCAATGACACTCAGGGAAGATGAATTTCCTTACTTCTGTGAGGCTTTCCTGAAATTTGTCCAGTTTGGTTTTAGCTTCGTTGTACTTTTTGCAGTTCATACACAGTTCATACATCTCCAGGATGTGCAGCAGAGGGGAATCCTTTAAAACACAAAAACCAGGTGATAATAAATTCCCCAAAGTACCTCTTAAGAAATCATACTTTTAAAAATCATATATTATTTCATTCGATAAATACAAAATTTGTCTTCCTCAGCAGCAGAACAATAAAGTTCTAATTCATTAAAACTGTATGCAAGGTTGATGTAGGATCTATAAATCTGTGAAAAGTGGAAGAACTTCGAATTTGCCTGGGAATTTCAGTGAATAGCCAGGTTATCCTTGGCACAAAGCAAGGGATTTACAGGCCCAGAAGGTTTGACATACACTCAAACACACCACGGAAACCACATCTCCTCACCTTTAAAAAGAGCTGGAAGCCATGCAGAAGAGTTTTACTTCTTTGCTTCCTTAAGAAGACTTTCCAGATGAGGGYGAGGTCCTGCAGGTCCCACGGGTGACTCCCTGCCCAGCCCTGGATGTGYGTGGTTGCCTCAGCCCTGGTGGCCTCATCCACAGAGGTGACAATCCAAACACAGAGGCAGGGGATGACATCTGCATCCTGGAAATGCCAAAGGTGGGGTTTATACATCACCTCATCACTATCACTTGGTAAAAAACATCACATTATCCACAGAAACTGTGGAAAAACGGCTTTTAATGCTACTGCAGATCCACCATTCAACAGAACCAGGCACAACCATCTGTGTTTATTACTGATTTCCCTGAAAGATGAGTAAGTCGCAGACTCACGGGGAAGCAGGCTGCCAGCACGCTGAGGATGGGGCTGTGCTCCCTGAGCCCCTCAGCCAGGAGGTAGCAGGAGGGGCTGGAGCTCTGCTGGCACTGCAGGAGGATCTGGAACAGGCTCTGTGCTCGGCTGTCACGGGCAGTGCCAGGCTCAGGACTCAGGAACCTCCCCAGGGCCAGCACCAGATGATCCCGAACTGCAGCWGGGAACTCCTGCACGAGGGGAACGACCTGGGAAAACAGCACCAGWGCCTTGTGAGGGCCAGAGAGGAGAGGGGAGCAGGATGAAAGCACCAAATACACAAAGATAAACAAAACATTATACAAATTCGGTTTTAGAACAACTTTGGAGACCTGGAGAGGAAAAAGGGCTCTGTAGGTGTGAATTATTCTAATGAAMGATGGAAGCCCATCCTTTTCCATGAAGCTCAAATGCCTCCTAGGGAGCCTCAGTTCTGTTCTCTCTTGTATTGTAGCAACAGAGCATGAGAAGGGTCTGCTCAGGTGTTTTTRTGGAATTATAGATGCTTCAAAACAATGAAGAGATCTAAGTTAAAATCCTAGGCCTGCTAAGCATCATCTTCCCTGGAATTATCCAGTTAGCTTCCTCACATGGCTTTTCCCAATTGCTTTTTATGTGTTGGTAGTATTTTATTAATTTTTAAATCACATTCAAAACCAAAGGTGGAAGATTTTGAATCTCGAAAGTTAAAATATCTTTACAAAAAATCAATTTGTGTTTTGAAAGAAAAAATGAGTGGTTTTATTAAAACTTACATTGAACATCTGGCAATGTAAAAAAAAAAATAATAAGCAGCAACTACATGACTTTAAACTACAATAAAAAAGCAGCAACTAAATGAGTTTAAACTAAATTTACAAGTGTGGCTGCAGGGGAAGGGCCACCACAGCCCAAGGGTATCAACATCCCAAGACAACCAAACCCCAGAAACTGGTGAGGCTCCTGTCATCTCCACACCCTGGGCCACTGTCCTGCTACAAGRCTCCACTGAACACACACACAGCTCACCTGGGCTGGCTGGTGGCTGTGGAGCTGGCTCTGGATSAGGAACTGCAGCCACTCGTTGGATTTGGCACATTCCCTCAGGAAGGATGTGCTCAGTTCCAGGTTATGGAGTTTGCAGAACTGCATGACCAAAGACCACTGCCTTCTGGAGTCACTGGATGTCCTGCACGGGATCGAGAGAGCTTCAGCTGCCATGGGCTGCACTACTGACCCCAGGTGTCCAGGGACAATGTGACCCTGTGACCCAAACAGCACCACAGCACTGCCAGGGGCTTGGTGACATCCAGGGCACATTCCCTCCTCTGGATGTTCCCACCCACCACGGCAGGCACTGTCCCATCCCGACCTCTTTAGCATTATCTGATACACAAGTAACAAAATTGAGTGCTCAGTCTCCATTTCCCAGATAATCCCTTCAAACCAGGCTGTTCTCACCTCTTTATTCCTTGGTGTTCAATTGAATCCCAGAAGGCTTCTTCCAAGGAGGTAAGAACTGCTGCTGCTGCTGCTCTTTCACCCTCAGCCACCTTTGTGAACTTCTCAGCTGTTTAAAGAACACATTCCTGAGATGCTATTTGGGATCAGGGTCAGGGCAGCATTTCCAAAAGTATCAGTAGCTGCCTAGTTGGAAAGCAGACACCTGCGGCCCTGAGTCAGAAATTCAACTTTCTGCAGTTATTTCTAGGATAAATTTAATTTCTCTACAGCTTTGAACATCTGATCTCACTGCAGCTGTAAGAGAGTTTTCAAATAGGAAGGAGAAAGGAAATTTGGCAACAGACTTTGTTTAACTCTCYATTAAATTATTACAACATTGGGCTGAACCTCACTAATACCAGTCTCAGGCAGCTGCTGGACAGTGTCTGTCACATCCTGATACAGTTTATAGCAGCCTTCCTGCCTCATTTGACATGACAGCATCAAAATGCACCTTCAAAATTAGGAAGAAACAGGAATAAAAGAAGGACAAAGTTCTTTTTACTGCTTTGCTGGCCCAGCAGCATCCTTCCATCCCTCTCTGCTTCTCTTCCCAAGAAATCCACAGCAGCTATTCCAGAGCAGACAAAGACACCCTTACCCAAAGAGTCTCTGATGTGGCTGTGAGCAGAGTCCTCACTCCTGGTCCTGTGGCTGAAAATCATCCTGGCAGCTCTCAGGTCCACGCGCAGCCGGAGGCTGTCGAGCCCCAGCAGCTCCAGGAAGCAAACACAGGCTGCAGCCACGGCGGGGACACCGAGGGAAGACAGAGCCAAAATCTGTGCCTGCTGCCCTGCCTGCTGGATCCTGCAGAGAGGGACACACAGAGATGGGCCTGTCAGCACATCTCCAGCACCAGCATCCCCCAGGAAAACAAGCACCTGCACTRGGTTTACTGAACTACTCAGATTCAGCATCAAAGGTAGCTACAAACCAAAAGTTTTATATTTATAAAAAATGGGGGTATGAGAATTAAGCCTCACACATGATAAGCAGAGTTTGCAATTTAATACACTTATCAAAACTAAAGGTARTGGAATTATAATTAATAAAACACCCCCTCAGCAGCTGAGTGACTTTGCAGAGCTGAAAATCCACTGCAGCACCAGGAACCTGAGTCTGACCTGCAGATGGTGCTAAGAAGAAATGTACCCAAAGGGTTTTCCACAGCAGTCACTGAAAAAATCTCATATCCTTGACTGTCTGTGAAACCAGGACTTCATTCTACATTAATGTATGTTTGCCTTTTTGTCCCAGTTTTACCTGTTTACACAGGAGAAACTGATCTGTGTAGAAATGATGGAGAAAAACAGTAACCAGCACACAAACCAGATGTTCCAGAAACAAAGTGATTTGTTCTAAATCCTACACTAAATAGAATTTAATATGTTCAAGCAAGATATGTCATTTGACTGTACCCTTTCAAAAACCTGATTTTGAAGCTTCAGCCAGAACATTTTATTCCATCAACCTCCAGTCCTTTTTTTGCCTCATTCATTTAACTAAAAAAGTGTCAGCATTAGAAAATGTCAAAGAAAAGGGGCATATTTTTCCTACAAMGTGATCTAGAGGCTCAGGCTCCTAAAAGAAGAGCCCACTCCTGTTTGAAACRACTGGAATATTTTCCTTGCTTTTTACATACAGATTTTATTGAGGTAATTCCATAYAAAGCTCACCTCCTTTCGGGTGATATTTGATTTCTAACCTTTAAGATACACACAGTGTGTGCTGCTGGAGAGGATTAATCCCTCCCTGAGCTCAGAGCCCTGCAGAACAGGGGACACTGTTGGGGACACTCACAGCTGCTGGGGGGTTTTGTTCCCATGGCTGTGCCTGATGGGGGTTTTGCTCCCCTGGCTGTCCCTGATGGGGGTTTTGCCCCCCTGGCTGTCCCTGATGGGGGTTTTGCTCCCCTGGCTGTCCCTGATGGGGGTTTTGCTCCCCAGGCTGTCCTGTTGGGGACACTCACAGCTGCCGGGGGGTTTTGCTCCCCTGGCTGTCCTGATGGGGACACTCACAGCTGCCGGGGGGTTTTGGTCCCCTGGCTGTCCTGTTGGGGACACTCACAGCTGCCTTGGGGTTTTGCTCCTGAGCAGCTGCTGCACCAGGAAGGTTCCGAAGGCGAAGGCGGGCCGGCCGTGGCGCAGGTAGTAGAGGAAATCCAATCTCTCCAGGACGGCGTGCCTGCCCACCAGCTCGGGACATGAGAAGTGAGGMAGCTCGCTCCAGGCATCTGCAACAACAGCACCAGCCTGTGAGCTGAACAACAACTGAATTAAACACAAGAAATGGCCTTCAGCCACAAAATGTGACGTGAGAATCAAACACGGTTCTGATTCAGATCGTGGCACATTCAAACCCCACTGAAATTCCACTTCTCACTGGAAAATCAGAACTCTGCATCACCTCAGCTCTGTTTTAAAAGAAAACATTGCTTTTCTATCTTATATTTAGAAGAAGTTCTGTCTGCGAGGACAGAAACTCACAGCTCAAAACCCAATTCTAGTAAACTACACTATTTTTCTTGYAGAAGAAATGGCCTTTTGAGTAAATTTATCTGCCAAATAATTCCCCCGGGATGTATTTTAWTTTAGGTGCTCAGGCTAAGCAGGTAAAGCAAGTAAACCTCAGCAAGGGACATACCTGACACTGCAAGGGTGTTTGTTGACTGCCAGCCAAATAATTTTGTGGGATCAAAGGGCATTAATGACTGAAAGATTAGAAACAAAATATATTGAGACAGCTTAAGACCTTCACATCACTGTCCTATAACTCTCAATTTCCATTTCTCTTAGACAACTTTAAAACACTTTAAAATATTATTTTAAAACAGTACTTAATATTTATTTAAAATACTATTTAAAATATTGTAATTTCTGCAACATTAAACACCTTGCCCACTGAACAATGCAAGAATATCCCTCTCTGACATTCCAGCACTGCAAACTCCCAGGATTTAGAGAGCACTTGACAGACCAGTTCAGGATGTAGCTGTGACCTTCAGCTCCCAGTTAAGGATCCCAAAGGAACAACCTATGGCCTCCACCCCCAGGTTTAGCTGCACACAAGCTCCTCTTTCCTTGTGTGCTACCAAAAGCACTGCATGTACCTGCAGGAGATGGTAGAGAGAGATGTCAGGAGGCAAAATTCCATGAGCAGTACAGGAGGGGAAGAGAGCAGCYTTGAGCTTGGGGTAAGGGGTCAAGGCCATTTTTAAGAGCTGTGGATCAACTTTCTTCAGAGGTTTTTCTGTATCTTCATTCTGAAGGACCTACATTGCAAGGAAGCAAAATTAATGAGGAAGAAACTGCATTAAATAACAATAAAACAATTTTGGGATGGGCCAATCTACCTCATGGGAATTTGACACAGAAAGTATATTTTTTTTCCTGTAAAATGCTTTTAAGTTGATCAGACACAGGTTCCCCAGCACCTGATGCTCCAGGTGACTGTGCTGTGGATGGAACACTCTGTTCATCCATCCTGTTCCTACACATGGCTCAGGGGGTGTTTTTCTATCAGAGCCACAAGTGCAGGACARGGGGACAGTGGGGACAGYAGGACAGGGAGATCAGGTGCCCCAGGCAGTACCTGGTCAATGCCTCCAGGCCCATACACCGTGGTGGCCAGGGCCARCAGGGTCCTGCCCTCCAGCAGGATGCTGCTCACACCCCCCTGGCTGCTGGGAATCAGCATCTGGGCATTGGCCAGACTCGCCTGGAAAATCATCTTGGGATCTGAAAAGGAAAAAAGTGACATTTAACTCCATGTAAAAATAGTATTAAATCATCAATCATATATTGCAGCTCTTCTCTGACTGTGAAATACTTTCGTTGTAAATTCTGATTTGTCTCAATTTGCCTGTGAACACAGATAAGATGGACTAAAGTTTGCCAAGCCTTTCCCAATTCCAAATTGCATCTTTGCCTACACAGATTGATTTGAGTTGATCCCCACAGTTTAGCACTGTATTGGTTCAATTTTTTATCCTACACTGATCACGCTTTTTAGAAAGAGCTTCACTTGGGCTTATTTTAATATTTTGTTAATTGTGTGACTGCAGATGAAACGTTTAAAAAGTGCAGTGAGTTAAGAGCACAAATKCTACTGGTTTTCAGTGAAGCAAACACATAATCCAAGGGCAGAGAAATCAAAATGCACCACAAGGACTAGAGGAAGGTTTAATTTTAATGGGATGTGTATTTTCTTACGAATTCTCCTTTGGAGAATGGACACCCAGCAGTGTTCAATGGAATGGAATTGAACTGGAGGTAATGGAATGATGGTAATRGAATGGTAACTGGAGGTAATGACCATACACAAAGTAATTCTCACTTATGTGCAGTCTCCAGATCTTTGTGTAAGGTTCAAATAGGAATTACAACCCAGACTTCGGAGATGAGGAAGTGATGGAGAGGGAAGTGATTGGTCACAGCCAAAAGAAAGGTTTCAGCACAGCACAGGGTTAATGCAGCTGTGCCAGACCCTGAGCTAGAGCAGAAACATCAGCCCCCTCTGGAGCAAATTCCTACCTCGGGGATTGCTGGCAACCCCTCGACACTGCACAAGGAACTCAAACCAGGGGTGTGCTTCGTGCAAGTCCTTCTTATCCAGAATAGGGCAGTTTGAAGGGGTTAAACTGGAAATAAATGAACAGCACAGTGAAAATACAGGATTTGTAACCACTGATGTGACAGAGCAATTAAGATTTGGAACATCTCATGGGTGTAATGCCACTACAAAAAACCACAAAATGATGTTGGCTTTTTTTCTGGTCCACTTCTACCTTTTTGATAATTCCAGTGTTAGACTGGAGTTATAGCTCAGAAATTTTAATTGTCAAGTATCCTTAAGTAGAAAGTATTCATATAGCTCCAATACCCAATCCTGGTACCAYGTTCAAATCCCAATTAACCCTAGTTTAGGTGGACACCAGCAATTTCCTTACTTGTGAACATACCAAGGGTCAACTCACACTTGTGCTCAAGAGAGTTTCTGAATTGTGTAAATTCTGAGTTTCTGAAGAGCAAATGCTCTTGGCTCATTTAGGATTGTATTGCTTACAGCATTACACTAATTACAACTGTAAGTGTTTCCTTTCATGGCTGACACACAAATTAAGACAATCTGAGTAAAGCCCCAGAGCTTCTGTTAAATGACACTGCTAGGGCTGAGGAAAACTCTTCCCACCAATTGTTCAGATTGTGTTTCCCTCTTTATATCTGCATGGGATTTGAGAGATGGAAAGCATTCCTACCTGTAATAGTCCAGATAAGTGTAGAGCAGGTACTGCAGGCTGTGCTCTAAGCAGTGCAGGACAAACCGAGAATGGAAGTCCAGGCCASTGGCAGTGCTGTACTTTGGAACAGGGTGAGGATTCTGCAGGACTCCCCCAAGGCACGACAATCTCTGSAGCAGGAGCTCAAAATCTTCCAGCTCAGAAAGGACAAAAATTCCCTTTCTGTCAGAAAAGTGAAAAAGCAGAGAAATTGATCACACAGCTCCCTTTGAGAAGTTCTGATGGGTGCTTTCAGCTCAAAATTAGAGCAGACCTTCCATCTCRGGGATTAACTTCCTACTGAGACAAACACAGCGTGCCAAAATCTGTCTGGTAGAGCCCAAACAACCACTGTGGTTACTCCAGGCCACTGCAGAGGACAAGGTGTGGGTAGTGAAATGCTCAGTGTGTGCTCAGAATYCCCTCCCTTGCATCAGGGATACAACCACTGGGAAACATCCAAGAGCTGAGGGAGGMTTGCTCCTGCTCTCATGGTTTTTACTGTTTTCAGAGAACTCAAAGTGCAGGACTAAAATAACATTTATCAACAGATTTGTGCTGTTTCCAAAAAGGCAACTGACTACAATATAAAAATCATMATGGATCAAAGACTTACTGCCTTCTCTGACTATCTGATTTTGGCTTCACATGAGCTCCACAGAGTGTCCAGCCCTGAGGCCCTACCTGGCCAGCTTGGTCAGGATGTCCTGTCTCATGTAGGTGCTGCACAGAGTGCTCCTGTCCACCAGGTCAGGACTCAGTGGGGGCCAGGCAGTTTGGGCACAGGGAGCCTGGCTGGGCTCTGCCTCCTCGATCCAGGAACAAACACTGCACCAGTCGTGCTGSGCTGTCAAGTGCATCCAGAGAGCCTCAGGGCTGCAGCTCTTGAGTTCTGGGTTTCAAAAAGGCAAAGGGATGAAACYAGCACAATCAAACACTTCTGAGGGAAATACTGGTATTTTCTTACACACACAATTGTGGAATGGTTTGGGCTGGAAGGGACCCTAAAGGGCATCCAGTTCCACAGGCAGGGACACCTCCCACTATCCCCAGGCTGCTCCAAGCCCAGTCCGACCTTGGGCACTTCCAGGGATCCACAGCCCAGGAAGCCACAGCTTCTCTGGGCACCCTGTGCCAGGGCCTCCTGACTCTCAGAGGGAACAATTCCTTCCCAATATCCACCCAAACCTGCCCTCTGGCAGGAGGAAGCCATTCTCCCCTGGCCTGTCCCTCCAGGTATTTTTCATCAACAGTTGCAAGTATGGTGCTGAGATCAAGGTTCCAGCTTTTGGAGATCCATGCTGGCAGAGCTGGAAGCAATTCCCAGCACAGGGAGTGGCCCAAAACAGGGCAGAGGATGGCATTTACACCTGGCCATGCCTTAGGCAAGCCCCTTCCAAACCCTTCTCTACAGGAGCAGCACAGATCCAGGTGCAATRGGATGAAACCCTCGTCACCCACCTCCAGTGACAAATGTCAGTGGCATCTCCAAGAGCTCCTCACCCTGTCCATGTCACTCCCATGCCACACCATGCCAGGGAGATCTGAACCCCCAGCTGAAGCCCTCAGCCCCAGGRTACTTGCCTTGGCGTGGTGTCCTGGGGAGCAGGATCATCTCCTGTGTCAGCTCRTCCCACCAGCGTGCCCAGTCCAGCACCACGCGGAGCCTGGAGCCGGCAGYGAGAGCCCCGGGCCAGCCCGGCCSTGAGCCCAGAGCCACCCGGTGCTGCTGCAGCTGCTGCTGCCTCCTCCAGCTGCCAAAACTGCAACAGGGGAGAACAGGGGGCTTCAGAGCTCGGCAATCAACACTCTCCACTCTGATAGACACTCAGGGAAGTTACCAGGCCATTTGGGAGAGCTCTGGGGTGCCAGGGGGACTGGCTTGAGCCAAAAGTTTGAAACTAAAGAATGACCTCATTTTCCCAAAATTGACAGAACAAAGTATGAGTACCAATTATTGAACTGTAAAATTATTGTCTAGGTTATTTAGTTGGCTGTGTTACAGACAGCATAGATGAAAAATAGAGCAAACATTTCATCTGAACACAGATCATTATTTGAGTAGCAATTCTAATATTATTAGCWATCAAAAGTGCTTCATTTGAAGCAGAAGAGCTCTGTCACCCTCACAATAATTTGTCATGACTTAGTCTGGAGAGAACATGACAGCAACTGTACCATTAATGAGAACATTACTCAGCCCCCACACTGACCCCGATTTCTGCAAAGACCAGTGTGAAATTAATGAAATTAAAGACTGTATTTGTTAGTGCAGTAAATCACACAGAATGTAGAATCCAGCATATTTTAAGTCCTACAATTGTTATTAATTAATAATTAAAATTAATAACCCACATTACCTGGAAAGAGACTGAGTCTCTTTATTTTCCTGGAAGGATTCCGAGTAAAGGCTTTCAACCCGATGCACAAAGTCTATCATTTTCTTCTCTTTTTCAGAAAAATAATTTTCTTCTCGTAACAGTTTCACCTTTAATTCAAATTAAAGTATTACCTCCAATTGTTAAAATATTGCCTCAAATTTTCATCTGGCTTTAATATATTAAGTAGTAAATGATCCTGCAAGTGCAAACAATTAACCAGCTGTAGAAAAAGATTGCTGGAAGCAGAGGGCAATGCTCTTAAACAACATGAGGACTCCAGAGTGTGTGAGAGAACTGCTTCAGAGGCAGCACAATGATTTTAACATCTTGGTACTTCAACAGCAAACACAAAGGAGCAGGGATGTTCCAGGAGCTACACTGGGAGGGTGCAGGGACAAGCYCCGGCTGTCTCTGCTCTGACAGTCAGTTCAGTGCAGTGGCTTCCCCCATAAACACACCCAAGGCTGCAGGGCTGAGAGCTGAGCTGGAAAAGCCCTTGCTGCACTCACCAGGAGATCTCGAACGTGTCTGTCCTCAGTGTGAAAGCAGATCTTGTGCAATTCCTGCTTYACATCGAAGCCCTGGCACAAAGGAGACACTCAGTGCATGCAAACTGTCAAATGTGCCCAGATAATACAYGAAAAGATTAAAACAGAACAAACAYATCTGCTTTTGCCCAARGCACCCAGCCCTTACAAACACACCTRTGACAGTTGCTGCACCAGCTCTGCAGGGCTGTGCCTGATGTCCCCAGAGCTGGGCACCAACCCTGCCCCTGGGACACCTCCCCAGCCAGAGCCAGCCTCTCCTGCTGCTCAGCCCTTCAGCCACAAACAGGCTCCCCCAGCAGCTTCTAAACCAGTGAATTCTCACTGTCATTCCACCTGCTCTGGTGGAATCAATTCAGCCATAGGACCCCTAAAAGCTCCCCACACATCCCATCAGTCACAACCAAGAGTGAAGACCCTCTGAACAACCCTCACCATATTTCTGAGCAGCTCAGAGGCCTCCCTGGTGTTGTCCTTCAGCAGACAGTCATAGACCAGGTTCAGACCTGTCTGGATGAACTCCTGCAGACTCTCAGCAGGATGGTGCTGCCTTCGGAAGAAGATCTGGGCCTCGGGTATTTTGTTGTTTAGGATGGCCTCAGCAATGACTTCCTAAAGGGAAAAAACATGGAACAAATTGATCTGTCTGTATAATCCCTATGTTGCTTTTCTTCCCCAATGCTTTAAGATATTTCCACATTAATGACYTCCTTAAATAAACTTAGTACTGAAAACCAGATTACTCATTTTTACCTCTGGTGTCAGTTTTTCCCACTCTTGGCTCTCTTCTATCTCAGGCAGGTCTTCATCCAGGTCAGCTTCTGTGTGTCCTGGAGTCATTTGTGGTCGAGGATATTTCCTCAGGAATTTTCTCAGTTTAATAATGTAATCAGTTAAAATATCTGCAGACTTCTGCAGGAATTCATCMGGTTCTGCCAAGAGCATCCAAGACACCAGTTAAAGGGGAATGAACAAACAGGATTTTAATGTTTAGCAATGCTGAATTAATAAAAATCCTGATTAATAAACAGAAGCCCTTGGAGAGAAGAGCACATCAGCTCTGTCTCCTGCACAGGCAGTGGAACAGCCCAGCCCCCTGTCAGGAGACAGAATACAGCCACAGCCCCACCAGAGCTCCCTGCCCTCACTGTGGTGTTTTCCCTCTCAGGGACCAGTAAATGAGAACTGACATTTTGTGTTAACAACCAATTGTTAGTCAGGTAAGCTAAATCTAAAATGCAGGGATGAACCTCTTTCATTAGCTTAATTCCAATATTCTTATGTTAATTCTAGGCAAATTTAAGCTTTTAATTAAAAGAATTAGCTGTTCTTACATCCCTAAATAATGACACATTACTAGATACGACCCAGCATGAGTGATCTCACCCTCTGTGTGCACAAAGATTTCCTCCAGCTGCTTGGTCAGGAAAGTCAGGGTGAGGTTCAGGAGCTGCTCAGAGAAGTGTTTGCTGTGAGGTTCCATATCATTGTCCTGGATTGCTGAGCAGAGCAAGTTCAAAGCTGGCCTGAGCTCCTCCAGATCTGCAATGGTTGCAGACACAGTTCACACAAGTGAATCCCACACACAGCCACAGAGAAAGGCAATTAAACAAATGTTTAATTGTGCAGCTGCAGCATTTCACTTACTGCTCAGGTAAGTGTGGGAGGCACCATCCCCAGCGTGCTCAGGCCCAGGGCAGGGGGCAGAGAGACTGAAAACACTTTCTTTGCTTTTTAAAAACAAGTCCACTGTRTCCAGCTGGCGATTTTCCAAACCTGCCTAGACAAACATGCAGTAGAACAATTAAGCATGGATTCAAACCATACATTGCACACTTACTGCTGGGATTCTTACCCCATACCAGGTCACAAGCTACACATGCAGAGAAACAGAAGGGATTTAAACTGTGTGTGCAGCATGAAATAACAAGGTGACCTGTTCAGTACCTGCCAGGCTCCTCTGGCAGGCTCTGCTCAAACCCTGCCCTGTATCTTCACACAAAATGTTATTGCAGCAATATAAAGTAAATACTGTGAGAATCAGGACTTTGAATAAGCTTACAGCAATTTTATAAAAATGGTGTAATAAACACAAAAATCTAGATCCAAGGAATACTTTTAATATTTAACATCTCACAAGGGGACAAGAACTGCCAAAGAAATTGGCAAAAAATGCTTTTGGGTCCAATTAAGAGGGAATTTTGAGCACTGCTTTATTCTGTTTTATTTYATTAATGYACATTSGCTTTGTTGCTCTATTTCTTCTTTYGGGTTACTCATCTAYTTGGGGTTTTATTGTTTATTTAATACCTAAACCACTTCCTTTTGCCCCTAGGTTTGAGGCATACTTTTAATTGTGTCTAAACCCACACTTACATTGCTAAACTGCATTCAGTACTTGAAAGCAGCATTTCTTATTTGCAAGACATGAAGCAGTTTTCCTTACCTCGAGGGCGTGGATGGGGATGGAGCACCTCTCCCARCCATTGAGGTGGCACACGGAATCCACGACTCCGGCGCTGCCAAACATCATCAGCCTGGTCAGGAACTCCTCCTGACTTAAAYCAAACAGGACCAGGGACAGACCCCGCTCTGAATGACAGAACCAAGCCATAATTAAAGATGGATCAGTTACCTGCTAGGCAGCAGCAYTGCCATCCACTGCCACTTCAAAAAGAGTGGGGCAAAGCTGCAGCAGCTCCGTTGGGATTTCACCCGAGCAGGAAGGCAATGAAACCACCCAACAGCAGCCAGGTAACCAGGTGAAACACTAAAAACCCCAAAAGAAGCTGCCTCAGGACAGTTTGTGAGCCCTCACCTGTCAGCAGCAGACATAGTGGCAGCTCTGCACTGCACTCCACATAAACGCTGCCTCTGCCGAAGTGGGAACACGTCACGTCCTGGGACTCAAAATCCCAGAGAGCCAGAGACAGCCCCGTGTCYTGAGCCAGCACCTCGAACACAGCTTTAGCTCCAGTCACCAGTTTACATTCCATTTTCACCATCTGTCCTGGTGCTCCCACGGGGATTTGTGCCCACTGCTGTCCTGCATCCCCTCGGGCTGTACCCTGCCTTTGCAGTGCTCGGGAAGCTGCCCAYGTAGCAGCCCGGGGAACAAAGGCCACCAGCGACTCTGGATCCTCACAGATTTCAGGATCGTGGTCTTCCAGATGGGTAAGAAACTGATACCAAGGCAAATTCAAGTCGTTCACCAAATCTGGAGAAGCTGGTGTTCTTCTTCTCCTTACTCTGTCCCACAGGGAGGACAARTGAGCCTTCCAGGACCTGGGGAGAGGGCAGCAGCCACATATGATACCAGCTATTACTCCAAGGCAGATAAAGCTCTCTCAGTTAAATAAAATGCATTTTAAACTTATAAAACCCATCCAGTACCCTGCATTTTAACCTTAATGTRGCCTGTTTATTTGCATTTAAATATTCCCTGCAGCCAAGCTGAGYTATCACAGCTGCATTASCTGACAATGTCCACGTTTAGCATTTTGAGTAAAAAGTTTTCTTTTCTTCACAAGAAATGCCCCAACAATTAAAAAACAGTAGAACAGAATTAATTCCAGAACTGAGTCCTTCTTACCTACACATCGAGTTATAACTCTCATGTTTCATTAGTATCAATACTCCAAGGCTTAGAGGGAACTCCTAAGGAGCAATTACTGTTAGGATGTAATTTAAATTTTAGAATTTACTGTTTGCTCAATGCTGTCCATAAATGTGCCTCAGCCCATCCTGAATTCAAAAGATTTACAGCAGAATGGGCTGATTTTACCTGTCGCAATAACAACTAAAAAAAACAAATCAGCAGTTTATTACCAGTGATCCAAGGGAGGAAAAGCCCAGCCTGAGTTAGGAGGTTTTTCCCTCCCGTACCTGTCTGTGCGGAAAGGTGACTGCAGCAGCTCCATGCTGTGGTCAGAACTGGCCAGGTCATCCTCATCCACTCCCTCAGGAGGCTTCACTGGAAGATTTTCAGGATCTCTCTTACAGAACAAATGCTCAGGAAACTGTCTGTAAAGAAATAAATACAAAACTTTGCCTTACTCAGATGATTTAAGATGCTTTTTTCACATTTAACTCCTCCAAGAGCTCTCAGTGAAGCAGTTTTCTCTCAGGCTAACAGGTGAGCCATCAAAACTTGCTGCTCCTTCCTTTGAGGTGGACAGCAGCTCCTAATTACCACCTGGCCCTAATTCATCAAGCTAAATCAGCACAGTAGAGCTGACAATTCCATACCCCACAGGACGTCTAAAAGGTGCTACCACCCACCCCTGGCACTGAGAGCACCTAATCTTCCTGGGGGAAAAAAAGTGCAAGACAAAGTTTATCTGTTTGTTAATAGATAAATTAAAGAGGTACTACAGATACATTTTMCTTTGTTAAAGTAACAGAGTGTAAACTGGAGCAGATAATGAAAGGACAATCTTTAAACAAAGAAGAAATTTCTGCTTTAGCACACAACTCGGAATGAAAAGCTGCCAACAGCCCCATGAGTCCAGGCMCAAGATCAGGGACTCAGGAAGGTCAGTTCACCCCAAAGGCTGCCCTTGGGAACGGTACCTGAAGTAGGTGTTGAGCTGCACGGCGAGGGCACGGTGGCAGCTGTTGGTCACCACGGCCACRCTGAGGTCAGGGGACACTGCCAGGGCAGCCAGGGGGGACACAGGGGCTGGGCCCTTGCCCTGCCCTGCTCCCAGGGCCACACTGACCTTCCCTAAGGTGGCACCATCAGAGCAGTCAAAAATGTCTGTGAACAGCGTCAAGGAAAAGCCCAAGCCTTGGAGTGGACAACAGAGCAGTGACACAGGAGGGAAGGGTGAATTTTGGCTCTAAGAGGAGGGAAAGGCAGCCTGAGTTTATTCTACTTTGATGTGTGAGGGAAGATGAGCAGGAACAGGTTAAATGCAGCAGCTGGGGGATCTGACAGATCTGAGCCCCTGCCCATCTCTAAACACAAATCTGGCTCCCAGCTGATTCCCTGGGTATCTGCCGATCATTAATGAGTTTAATTAAGAAATTAGGTGACAGGAGATGCCAGCCCGTTATACACAGACCCATGGATCAAAACCATTAATGAAACTCATTAATCCAGAGGGAGCCAAATCTCCAGTAGGGTGCTAAGAAACCCTGGACACACAGCTATAACCACAATAACCAGGATTTGGCTACACAATCTTCTTTGGAGGCATCTCACTGACATGTCCTCAAAAAAATTTCTGCTCAGCCCTGACAGCAAAGAAAAGCAACTTTGTTCTTCCAGGTGATCTTCCCTGAGAGCTCATCTCTCCTACAAAGGATACAAATCCAGCCAGCACTGTCCAGCAGGAACAGGATTCCCCTGCAGAACTGGGAATCTGTTATTCTCCCCACAGCTYCGGGAGGCAGATCCAGGGTGAAGCAGTCACACATCTCTGGGGGTGAGTCTTTCCCAGGAAAGGTCAGGTGCACAAGGATAAACTGGTTGAGCAGAAGTCTGCACTTGCTGTTTCGAAAAGACAGAAGCTTCACAGAGAAAACTGAAGGCAGACCTGTAAATTCAAAGATATTTAAATTTCAGATTACAGACAGCTGGAACTTTTGATTTGTAAAAGAATCCCAATGAGCTCAAACTCATTGCCCCGTTACCACCTTAAAAGAGTCTGGATTGTGAGTTGGGATGGTTRATTTTAAATCTGAGTTTCTGTGTCAGAGGCACTCATTCTAGAACAATTTCCTAAAACTTTTTATGTGGCTTTTTCATTGGACAATACCATGAAGATCACAAAAAAATCAGCACCATGTAGTATTTCAGCCAGCACTGAGAGGAAAACTACAAACTTTGGAAATAAAATACTAAAGGAAGGGAGTCTGTTTAAGAACACACAAAACACAGGTCCTGCAAAGGCTCATTCCAACTGCACACTGTTTGCTAATCAAAAAGTACAAGGTTAAATGCTTAATTAGTCTTTGAAGGATTATTGAGAAGCCTTGTCTCTGTTCTCTTCCCATCAGTTCCAATACTAAAGCTAAAATCTGAGACAGAAGGGTTGCTTATATTTTATTAAAATTTATTTTTCATTTTCTATCAGCCAAACATGCAATCTTGCAACAGGTTAATGCCCTCCAACAATGTCACCTTTGAATACAGAAATATCCCCATTAATTTTCAAGTCARTTAATGCTGCTGATCACACTGGATCAGTGTGAAGGTGCCCAACACTTCACTATTGCTCAATCCCATGCCTGGACTCGTCCCACCATGAGCAGCAGAATCAGACCCGCAATAATTTCACCCATGGAATACACTTAAATGTACTCACGTATGTTTTTAGCCTCAAGCAGCATTTTAAGTGTCTCTTCCTTAMAGCTGTGCAGGGAATTGGGGTTGTGTTTTCCATCTTCCACGCTGAATTCATAGACAAACAGCTCATGMCTTTGCCCAAGAGCCAGGAGTTTTGTCTTGTTTGGGTGCAAACCATCATCTTCTGTGCTGTCCCAGAGGAAGCTGAAGATACAACATTCAGGTTTATTTGCTTTGTACCCTATTCCCATTTTCACACCGAACAACTCTGGACATGCAACTCTCTGCTGATGGGAGCATCACTTTCACTTCAGCAATAAAGACTCTGCTGTCCCCCTGTCCCTCCCAGCACTTTCATCCTTGGCAGGAGAGAGCTTGATGAACCCTCACACCTCCTCCTCTCTAGGATAAAGGAGTTTTCAGTCTCCTGTGGTTTTTTCCCCTTTGGTCACCCAGGACACGACTGATGCTTTGCTTCAGGATTTCCAGGAGGGGGAACACGAGCTCTGCCAGCGAAGGACAGCACAACACAATGCCCATTTCCAGATCTGTGCCTGTTGAGGGGCTGAGGGGCTCTCCAGGTGCCTCACACCTGCGCTGGGGCCATGGGGAGGGGGGACACAGGGACAAGCTCAGGATGGGCAGAGCAAACCGGAGAGCAGAGCCCTGAAACAGCACTGACACACTCCCCACCCTTGGAATGCCCCAGGCCAGGCTGGAGAGGTTTGGAGCAGCCCGGGACAGTGGAAGGTGTCCCTGCCATGGCAGGGGTCTAACGGGATGCGCTTTAGGGTCCCTCCCAACCCGAACCAGTCTGGGATTCTGTGTCTCTGAGCAATGTTGGTGCTGCTGGACACTGCAGATGCTCAGAGCTATAACGGGACATTGGCTCTGACTCAGCACGGAAGTTGCCAAAGCAGATGTTAAAGCCACCATGTGACTGCCGAGTGTCACCCCCGGGCTGGCCCCGACAGCAGTCAGGCACAGGCGATGTGAAACCAACAGACAAACGCTTTTTGTTTGCTCTGGGATTTGCATCAGCTGCAATGAACACAGCGAGCTAAGCAGGCAGATATGACACAGCACCAGGGGCTCTGGGGGAGCTCCCCATTTCCACGCGAGCTCCGCAGCCCCGCAGCCCAGAGCGCCGGGGGTCTCTCGCGGCCGCCCCTCGCCCCGCACTTACTCAGCCCAGGCTCCCGGCAGGACGCTGCCCCGGGCCCGCCCGGCCCCGCCCGGCCACAGCGACTCCAGGTAGATCCCGCCGGGGAGCAGGAGGGTGCCCAGAGCGTCCTGGGCTCTGTTCAGYCGCACCCGCGCCGCGTCCCGCAGGCATCCCCGCGGCTCCCCCGAGCGGGGCACCAGAAGCACACGCAGCTCCCGCCGGGCCCCGTCCCCCGCTGCTGCCGCCATCCTCCTCCTCCTCCTCAGAGTCGCCCACCAGCCCTGCCCCGGGCCGCCGCCATCTTGGCGGGGCCGCCCCTCGTTCCGGTCAGCTGGACCGCCCGGCACCGCGACTACGACCCCCAGCATGCACCGCGGCGCAGCAARGCGCGCTGGGAGCTGTAGTCCCCGCCAGCCCGCCACTGCTGTTTGTTTCTTTAAGCAGAATTTTTTTTTTACCTTTAAGCAGAATTCTCTGTATYTTTTCTCCGTTTCCAGTCCTAGKGCTGGGGTTGTCCCGGAGTCCCTCTGTGTCCCCATTCCAGGACGCGACTCCACGCGGGGACACAGAGACGGGCGTGACCACGTTTTCGCACCGCCCTCGGGCGGGGTTTTATCGCAGTAGCTCCCCGCCTATTGGTCCTCCTTGGCCCCGCCCCCTCCCCGCCATTGGCCGCGCCGCGGCCCCGCCCCGCCCCACGCGGAAGTGCCGCGGCCCGCGGGCCGATGGCGGAGCGGGGCCATGTCGCTGGTGCTGGCGCTGCTCTCGCAGGCGCTGGGCCGGGTGTGGCGGAGCCCCGGCAGTAGGCCCCGCCATGCCCTCCCGAGCCGCGCCATGGAGCACGACAGGGCCATCGAGGTCTACGGTGACTGCCGGGGGCCGGAGGGCGCGGGGCCCTGGGGCGGGGGCTGTGAGGGGCCTCAGGGTGTTCCCGATTTGCCCTTGGGGGGCTGAGGTGGGAGAACCACGCCCGATGCTGAGGGGCGCAGAGCTGTGAGGGTGCCCCGAGAGGCTGGGAGTGCTCCCTGTGGGGCAGGAACAAAGGGCTGTGTTTGKCTTACTCGGCTCGTTTGTTGTGGCTTCCAAACAGGAGCAACGGTAACAGTGTTGGGAAGGTGGGTGCTCATAAAAATACCTTTTATTAAATGCAGGGAAGATGGTTCATTGTYGCTCACTTGTCTCCTGTCTCAGATATTATCCGGACTATCCGGGACCCGGAGAAGCCCAATACTTTGGAAGAACTGGAAGTGGTGACGGAAAACTGCGTGGAAGTGCAGGAGATAGGGGAGGATGAATATCTGGTCATCATCAGGTTTACACCAACAGTACCTCATTGTTCCTTGGCCACTCTCATCGGTGAGATTCCTTTAATTAAATCAGWAACATTGAGCACAAGGTTACTTTGAGGCTGTCTGGACAACATCAGTCCCAGTTCAGATTCAGCCATGCCTGGCTGTGTTGGTTTGACCAGGAATTGCATCTTGAGAACCCAACCACCAATGCAACCAAACCAAGTGAAAAAAAAACCCCAAATCTAGAGAAACAGAGACACCCATCTGTTTGTGTAATGTTAGAGAAGATCTTCAAAAAGAATCTCTCAAAAGTCCAACAATCCCCAAAAGTCCTGGTCCACCAGGAGCTGGAAAGGAATTAAGTTAAGTGAGAATCCACACTGTTTTATTTTGCTTTTTTGCTTTTCCCCTATGATTTGCGTTGAGATTTCATCTGAAAAGGTCACATCTGAGAGCTCTGATATGATTTGTATCAATGGGCCAAAGTTAGAAACTCAGCATTGAATGTCAATACAAAGATTTCTCAGTGTGTTTAAAGATCAAGAATTTAATGAAGAAATTACTGTATTTACAGCCAAATAATTAGTGATGGATTTTCTAATAAAGAACAATCCAAACACTCCCCTCAGTACAGATGCAGCCACCAGACAGCTGGAAAGCTGTACCAAAAATACCAAGGAAAGCTGGGAATGCAGGAATTTGTCTCTATTTCTTGTTTCTGGAGCTGTTTAGAGAGCAGAGACCTCCCAAGCTAGTAAAGCAGTGAGAACTTACCTGAGAAGCTGCATCCAAAGGGTCAAACCAAGAATTACTTAGTCCTTCTGTGCCTTGTGCTACTCAGAATGCAAAAGGACATTGTCAGTTATACTGATGATTAAACGTGGATTCTCTGAAAATGCACCTCAAACCTTGAAKTTTACAGGAAAATCTCTTTTGTGTTCCAACAGGCCTCTGTTTAAGAATAAAACTTCAGAGATGTTTGCCTTTTAGACACAAGGTAAAGTGCCTGTCTTGAAGCGTGTTTTAAACTACATAAATGAATGGCAGCCTCCCCAAATTAAACCCAGTCATTTACAGACCTTTAGAGACTTGCCCAAAATAATTTACGGAATAAATTAATTACCTGAAGATTTCTGCAGTTGATTTTGGGATGGTTGTTTTATTTTTATGGCTGCTGGCTCCATCCTCCCAGCTGAGCAGTATAAAGGGAGCTCTTGTCACCAGTCCCCTCCTGGAGCAGCAATGGGGACAGGCACTGGGTGGTGGGGGACGGTGTTTTAATTCCAGAAAGGAATATATTCCACTGCTGTGGTGCTCCTAACACTGCTGATCTCTCCTCTAGCTGGAAATCTACATTTCTGAGGGCACACATTCCACAGAGGAGGACAGTGAGTAGAGCCTGTGCATGCTGCTGCTTCAGCCTCTTCGTGCTCTGTTTCYTCCCCTGCCTTCCTGCCTTCCCAGAAATTAATTCCTCATGAAAGCTTGAAAACCAAGTGGCATGGAGGTGTTTCCAAGTGACTCTGGGACCGCCTGCTTGTTGCTGGTTTGGTTTATACCAAAACTCCCACAGTTGTCACAGTTGTCCAGTTTGTATCAGAAGGAGATGCTGCTAAATAACTGACATGATGACAGGCCTTACTGGTTGATCCTGGTGTCCTAAAAGCTTCACAACRAAAATTTCTATTTCTCAGTCAGTTTTTAAAGTAAAGCTTGCAGGACAAGTATGTTGTGCCACAGCCAGAATCAGGCACTGCCTTAAGCAGCCGTGGAAGTCCAGGTAGTACCTGGCCTGAGCAAAAATTAGTTATTTTGGTTGAACAGCTAGAAACTGAACTTGGAGAACCTGGGCTACTCATTTATCATGAATTTCACACTTGATTTTGGGACACATCATTGGAACATCTCACATCCTTTCCTAAACTAGAAAAGTGACAAACGGGTTGATTTCCGATGGTTGCTTTGTTGTGGCTGAGCTTTCATTTGCCTCCTTCCCCATTTCCCACTAATCCTCCTGGTAATGTTTGCTTTATCGTTTGCCCCCTGCCTTTGGGGGGCACTGGGAGCTCCTGATCTCCTCTCCCTGGAATGTTTTGCAGTCAACAAGCAGATCAATGACAAGGAGAGGGTGGCAGCGGCGATGGAGAACCCAAACCTGCGTGAGATTGTGGAGCAATGCGTGACTGAGCCCGACTAGGGACACTACCCGGGGGACAACCCTGCTGCAAACTGAGGAAAATAATAATAAAACCAAGGCCTTGAGTTTAATACTTGAGTTCTTTTTATCTTCCAYGTGTTTTTTAAAGAGAAATTGTTTATAAGATAGATTTAAATTATGAGGAATCAGTCTCTAAAGAAAGTCCAGTATATAGTGCTGAGAGTTTGTAATTTCTGGTGTCCAGAGGAGTATTTTGTGATTCAAAGCAACACATCTGCATTGCCTTCTGAGAGACATTGTGATATAAATTCAGTTTTGCAAGTTAAATTTCTACATTGTTTCAATCACTGCACTGTAAAAATAAAACAGATTCTTGTACTCAAATGCTGCTTTTTCTGGCCTGAATTTCTGTTTCTTTAAGTTTAGATTTCTGTTAGAGATATTAATTTCATTCAACTTCTTCAGTRTGGCTAAACATTAAAGCTGAAATGAATTTAAAAAAATAATTCAGAGCTGCGGGATGTGGGACGATGGAATGCCAGCATAATAGACTCTTTCCCTTTGTAAACCAGAGAACTGYCCTATGTCACAGCTCTTCCAGCAARGGACCTTCCCCTCAAGTGCCAAATTAGCTGAAGAAATTAATGGGGGTGGGGGAGAGAAAAGKTGAGGGAAAGAATAATCCCCTTTTCCCCACAGGTTCCTGCACATGTGGGAAAACACTTCTCTTAACTTCAGTTACTCAGCTTCAATTAAATGGTAGTTAAATTTCAAACTCCTTTGTACCTCCATGGACAAAGTGCCAGCACAGGGGGACACGTGTCCTGCATCCCACCCCAGTGCTGGGATGGGCTCCAGGCAGGCAATTCTGCAGGAATGAGTTAAACACTCAGGGAGCCTGAGCTGCCATTATCTGTTGGCTTCTTTCCTGGAATTAGCTTTTTTTTTTTGCTCTCCAGCATGGGGGTTGATACTTTGTTTTCAGAACACAGGTATCTCTGTCGGCAAGGAGGTTCTGTGGRTCCTGTGGCCATGAGATAGCGGCTCCTCTCCTTGGAGGAGCTGCCGGGGCTGCCTGTGCTTGCTGTCTTTGCACAGCTCGGTGACACCACCAGAACAGCATTCCCAGCTCAGGCAAAAGCTTGGAGGACAAGGAATGCTCTGGTGAGCATAAGGTGACTCTCCTTGTTTCTGCCATGCCCTGGGATCCTTAGTCCTGAGGACTTTGTGTTGGGCACAGAGGTTAAAAGTTCCTTTTCAGAGCAACAATTCAGAAAAGGGATCAGATCCCAAACACAGGCCTCTGCTACCAGGAATATTCCCAGTTCCTCAGGGAATGGATCGTTGCTGGGGCACTGGGAGGTGACTCCCCAGGAGCAGCTACTCTTTCCAGCATTTCCATTTTAACTGGGCTTGGGATCTTTGTCCATCCCTGTTGCTGCTGCTCCACAGACCGGGTTGGGCAGAGGCTTTGCTGTCACGAGGCTTTGGGGACACTGTGGGGGTGACACAGGAGCAGCCAGGGAGCAGGGGACACCTGAGGAGGAACAGCTTCCGGGGATCCCATCGGGCAGGACTTGAGTGCAGGAGAACACGGGATGTTCCTCCAAACCCGGGAAGACACAGACGCGACACCGCCCTCTATATCAAAATCTTTATATCGCTCTATCCCTGTATGAAGAAGTACTAAAATTGTCCCTTCAGGTGATGAGTCCTTTGCATTTAYGGCAGGGAGGGACAACTGCAGAGGGCACCAGCAGCCCACGGCACCGCGGTGCAGGGAGGAGCATCCCCACCCGCCTGGCTCCAGGGCCATCCCGGCAACCCAAAGGGCTCCCCGGTGCCTGTGACCCGTGCTGCTGCAGAGYCGTCCCGGTGTTTGCTGGAGAAGCTGCGGACAAGCTGGGAGGTGGAGGAACGGACAGTGCGGGGTTTGAGCGGMGCTGTGGCGGTTCCACCCTTTCGGCGCTGTTTTCTGTGGTAAATCGTGGAATATTCTGCGGTGGAGGGGGCTCGAGTCTSTTCCCACCACGGGGGACCCAGATATCCCGGCAGGAGGGTGGCCTCCGGGGGTTCCAGCTCTCCCGAGGCTCGGAGCAGCCCGGGMGGTGCCCGCAGGGWCGGGGGAGCAGCAGGAAGSKCAGCAAACCCCCAGCACTCGGTGCCCAGCTGCAATTCAGCCTGGGCACCTTCCYCCCGAGCCCGGGGCGAGCTCCCGCCTTGCCTCAAACCTCAGCATAACACAGAGACCGTTCCCCACCTCCACTGCTCCCAGGCGCAGCCAGCACATCCCTCTGCCCCTTTGCCCGACCCCTGACATGCAGAGGGATTTACTGCAGCCTCTGCATTTCYAGGCTGGCTTTTCCAGGTCTGAAAKCACRTTTCCATCCCAGATGCCCRGGCTGCGTGTCCTTGCAAAGAGCACTAAGGGCAGTGGAAGAGGGCAAGGGACTGTTCTCGTTCCCTGGTGGCAGCAGGGCCTGCGAAGGGCTCGTGTTTGCACACACTTTACTCGGGGGGAGAACTGTTACTCACCGCAGATGGCAGCGGAGTAGTTGCGTGTAGAGACAGAGATATTTTTAGCACGTAGATATTTCTAAATGTTTACACCCGGCAGCTAAGGGGCCGAGGGCTGTGGGTTTTCAGCAGCTCTGCCCCAGCTCTGCGGGCCCTCCCTCCCTCTCTCTCTTGGAGGGTCCCTCCCCTCCTACAGCACATGTGGAACAACTTTATTGAATTTCTCAACCGAGTGGTTGCTCTGGGTGAGCAAACACACCGTGCCTTGGTACCAGCTGAGTAGTGGGGCAGCTCTTTCCCTCCCTCCCTCCTTCCCTTTCTTCCTTCCTTCCTTCCTTGCTCCTCCCGTTTTCTGTGCTTTCCTTCCCTCCAGGAATTTTCCTCTTCCACAGGCACCCCCGGGATGAGCTGCTGGAGCAGCAGCTGGAGCAGTGCTGGGGTGCAGCACCCCGAGGTGGGTAGATGAAGGCTGTTCCCCACTGGAGCAGCTGGCAGGGATCAGCTGCCAATTAAAAGCCAAACAAAAAGAAAACAGTGAAATTTTTCAGATCCTTCCTTTGCTSTCCTGACTTTTCCACCTCTCTGTGCTGTGCCTGTGACCCCTTTCTGGGTAGCACAAGGTTTTCAGAACAAGAGTAAAGGAAGCCATCTCTTATCATATCTGGAGAGCTCAGGTGGGAGCTGAGCTGTTCCTGATCCCACAGGATCTGCTGCCTCCTCCGGTGCTCAGGTCAGGACTGTGCCCCTTCCAGGGCCATCAGTCCATCCTGATGAAGCACTGATGATCCCTCTGGCTCTTTGGGAATTAAAATCCTCCAGCTGAGATCATCTGAGCCGGACAGAGGCCCTTGGTGAGGTCTGAGAGCTGCAGACCACAGGTGCTCTGCCAGGACAGCCGGTGGCTCCCAGGCTGCGGAAGCGCTTGGAGCGCTCCTGTGGATCTGAGACACAAACAAGCTACTCCACAAGCAGCTGCTGCCTCCCAATTAACGAGCTCCTCTTCCTTCCTGTCTCCAGTATGAAAATGTCTGGAGGTGACCAAGGGAGGCACAAAGGTCTGATTTCTGATCTGAAGCCAAAGGACTCTCTTAGAGAGTCTCCCAGCAGATTATAGAATCACAGAATGGTTTGGGCAGGAAGGGACCTTAAAGCCCATTCAAGTTCTGCCTTCTGCCATGGGGAGGAACTGGATGGGCTTTAAGGTCCCTCCCYACYCAAACCATTCCACGATCCTATTCCAAACATCTTTTGATCCATAAGCCCTTTCCTTCTTCCCTTTCGCCCCACTGCAGCAGCTTTGTCTGAATAACATCCTGCTTGTGTTGAGACAATACAAGCATCTTTAGAAGAAGAAAAAAGGCATTTCTRTATCCCATCCAACCCTGCCCTCAGTYAGTGGGRAGCCATTCCCCCTTCTCCTGTCACTCCAGGCCCTTGTGAAGAGTCTCTTTCCAGAGACACTCACTGGAGRTGTCTCCCTGAAAGAAAATACCRCAGATATTGAAGCCAGATGTGTGTTACTGTCACTGATAATGCTGTTTCTGTGCTGGTGGGAGGCCTGGCTTGTTAGTGGCTAAAAATCAGATTAATTGCCCTTCCAACAGATTCCCAMATCATGATCCAACCTTCTCCAGCCTCAGTCCCCACATGCTCCTCACAGATTGGGCACCAGATCCTGTACCACAAATAAATTGATTTGCAGAACTGATTCACCTCATCAACCCAACTCCTGTTTTAATTAACAAATCCCAGTTGCAAACAGCAGCTCTGAGTGATTTTCAGATGCAAACCCATCATTCCTTCCTGCTGCTAGTGCCTGAACCATCTCCAATTAGGTGAAAACCCTCGGAATTCCCCAAGGGGAAGAGAAAATGTGAAACCCACCCATTTTCTTCAGTAACTGTTTAATTTAACACACTCATGAGCCATGSCCACCAGCCCCCAACACAAGGGCTGTCCCTTTGCAATCCTGGGAGGGTGATGGGGTGTGGGTCAGACGGTGCTGGGGACAAGGAAACCAGGACTGAACACAGGCTCTGGGAACATAAAAAATTTACACCACCTTGGGAAGGAATAAAGCACAAATGGTGAAGTCATGGCTTGTGTTTTACATACAAATCACACACAGGAATTTTCCCCCTTTGGACTGAGTGCTGCTCCCAACAGCTCAGAGAAATGCATCTGGAGCTCAGACAGGCTCCAGCCTGACTCTGCCCAGTGCAGGGAGGGCTGCCTTCAAGGTCTCCCAGTTTCTGGGCATCCTCCACAGCCTGAAGAGTAACAGAGAAAGGAATTCCTACCTAAAGGCTCCTGCCCTCCTCCAGAGACAACCTGCCAGCAAACCCTCCCCAAGACAGAGGAATTCCTTCCCACACCGCTCCGGGAGGAGGAGTTGTGCCTCAGAATAAATTGGATATTCTAGTTAAAAATCAGCTAACCTTAACAGAGGAGAATCTAGATAAGCAGGGGGAAAAGGGGTTTAGACTGTAAGGCCACAGAAAAACACCTTAACTGAGAATTACACTCCTACACATACAGAAATCCAGGGACTGAGCACTGYCTGCCCACGAGGGAGGCCATGTGCCACTCACTGCCAGAGCAGCTTCCCTCTCTTGCCCAAATTCATGCAAAGGAATGTGCTGGTGGACCCCAAATCTTGGCATCCCTGATGGTCCCCTCTGCTCCAGAGTGACATAGCAATGGCTTTGGCAGAGAAAGCCCTGCACACCCCCAACTGAAGCTGAAATTTTATTACTCTGCCCTGTCTCCACTTCTTAAATTAAACCYATTTAGCTTCAGTGTGTAAACATTTTAATGAAAATAACAGGAATGGGTTGCCAGCTTCAAGTCCCTTAAAGGAAAAAAAAAAAATCCCTACCCCAAAGGGTTGGCAAAGGCAGTGGAATTCTGGATGCTTGCTTCAGAGATATAAAAATAATAATAAAAGTCAAGGTTTGTGCTGGCCAGCCAACACCTTCGAGAGGCTGCAAATGTCAAATGATAGCACCATAAGCATTTCTGAGAAGTCTTCCCCAAATTACTGCTGCTTTCGGTTCCCCTTCCCCAAAATGTTTCCCCGCTGGTCTGGCAGGGCAGCGTGACCCCGGCAGGTCCTGGAATCTCCGTCAGGAGCAGCGGGATCCGCACCCCCAGCCCCAGCAGCCCCACTGATGGWTTGAGCACCGTTAGAGAGTAGCACGAATGAGAGAGCCCGAGGGCTCCCGGGCTGTGGCAGAGCCACCAGTGCTGGCTGTGGCCCGGCAGCCGTGGAGCCCGGAGCGCTCAGGGACGCTCCTGTCACCTCCGGGAGAGCCGCTCGTCGCCGCGGTCCCGGCCGGGCCCTGCCAGCGGCCCGTGCTGGCGGCAGCTCCGGCAGCACTGCACATGGACGGTSGGGAGGTGGCACCGGCCCAGCAGCCGCAGCGTCTGGCAGAAGGCGAAGGTCAGGCGGTCGCGCTCGCAGGGGACACCTGGAGGGGATGGAGGAGGACAAGGAGGGCGTCAGTGTCGGTGTCACCACGGGCATCAGGTGTGTGACATAAAAAGGTCCCTGCGCGGAGCAGGGGGTGGAATGGGATGATCRTTAYGRCCCCTTCCAACCCAAACCRTCCCAGGRTTCTATGGRAGCTGGCAGARGSTGGAGAGACCCAGCAGTCCTCCAGTGCAGAGCCCACCTGTGTTGGGCACTGGGCAGCTGTGGCATTTCCCATTCCCAGCACAAACAACACCTGTGCTGCTGCCAGCAGCTCCAAAGCATCTTCCCAGGGCAGCAACACTCTCAGGGAGATGCAGAGGTACAAATCCCCCCGGACTGACACCTCCTTCCAGGCCCCAGACTTCCCCCATGCCAGCAGAGCGGCGTTTGAATTGTTTAGGTTATTTTGAGAACCTGCATCATCTGGTTTGCTTCCTGCAGGTGTCCTGCAGACCTCAAAACAACTCTGGTGCTGCTCTGAGGAACAGCTTTGTTTTGGGAACGGCTGCTCCAGTGGCAGCCCTGGCTCTGCTGTGGGGGAGTGCTCAGGCAGCTGCCACAGTGGCCGTGGTGGCCACAGTCTGGCCACCAAGCTGAGTCACCCCCAGACTAAGCAAACTGTTTGCAGGAACAGTTTCCTCTCTCCAAACAGTCTGGAAATCCCTGCTCCCACTCCAAGGTTGGGAGCACCAGGTCAGGGATTTGGGTTCAGAGTGGGGGGAGATGTGAGTGCTGCCCATGGAGMGAGGGTGGGACATCCCACCCAAAACTGCCTCACTCCTGCCACYCCCTCCATCCCATGGGATCCCATGGCTGTTGTGGGACACTCATCCCAGGGAACAAGGGATGTGGCAAGGAGGGGAGAACCCTCCCTGCACCTCTAGCARCCCCCAACTCCATCACCAGCCAGACCAGGCCCCACTGGGCTCGGTGCTGCAGCAGAGACCCATCACCAGGCACACACTGTTTACATGGATACACAGTTGGTTTGCTGGAATTTTTGATTTCCTCCTTCTCTATTTCATCTCAGAGCAAGGCACAACTCCCTGAGCCTGCAGCTTCCTACCCACTGGTGTTTAATTTACATCAACTCAAAAATGAGCCTAAGCTTAAAATCCATGATCCTGTGATTCCAATTTTACCTCCTATACAAGGAATTAAAATAAATTACACTTTTTTTCTGGAAAAGGACAGAATTGATGCACTCTGGGGCCAACCTGCCCCAGCCTTCCCCCATTGCTTCTCCCTGGGCACCCTCCACCAGGATCGTGCAGAGCAGGGGCAGAAATGGACAGGCAATTCTCTTTCTCAGGACACTTCTCCACAGGGCAAACACCAGGACAGAGCCAGGGAAGCTCTCGCTGACCACTGCCCCTCGCCCTGTCCCCTTTGGGAACAAAGGATGTGCTGAGGGAACAGCTGCTGCCCCGATTCCCACGGGATGAGCTGAGCCACGGCCGATGCAAAGAACGCGGCAGATGCACAGCAGAGACTTTTCCATGGGTTGGGATTTCAGTCACAACCCCCTCCCCCAGCCCAGCAGTGACAAGGTCACTACACTGCTCWAAAATTTATTTTCTATTTCAGCTGAGGTATTTCCTCCCTGCCTCCCGAGCTGCAGCTCTTTGTGCCTGGCCCAAAGCATCCCTGTGCCCCAAAAAAGCCATTTCTCACTGGCACTGCTGCATCCAACGGTGCTGACAGAGCAGGATCAAGGGGATCCTGGCTTCACCCTACACCTCCAGGCTGGGGGCTCGCTGCAGCCCTGTGTTTTGGGACAATGTGGATTTTCACTGCAGGGTGAGCAGAGCAGATGAGAAATCCCTGCACAGCCCAGCCAGGGCTGGGCCAGGAGAGCAGCACATCCCAGAGCTGCTGTGAGAGCACCTGAGCCATCAGGAAAAGGGAAGAGCTTGTCGGTGTTATGCTCCACTGGACTCTCAGGATAATATTCCTGGGAACATCCCTGTATTCCTGCTTGCTGCARGGCAGGGATGGCTCAGCAGGGCTCCTAAAACACCCCAGGGGTGTCCTGTGAGAKGGGRAATCAGCYTGGATGGCCAKGGATGGGCAGRAACATCCTGGGCACTGCTGGGGGAYGCTGTGCCCAGGCAGACCCTGCCCAGCTCCTCGGCATTTTCAGTGCTTGCTCCRTTCAGTGCAGCTTCCTAGAAAGTTATTTATGGATCACAACCAAGCTACTTTCCCTGGAAAGAGCTGTGAAGGCCAGGCTGCTGGAGGCTCACACGGGGTGGAGGCTGCTTTCCAGGCCTGRAGTGACACTTTAGCTCTTTCCTGATCCCTTTCCAGGGGCTCAGCACCCTGGGCCCATCAGGAAATCCCTGTCCCTGTGCTGTGACCAGGCAGCAAGCAGCCCACTCTGCCAGGGGTTACTGCTCTTTGAACACCACCTCATCTACACAGGTATGGGATTACTGTGGGAAACAGCAGGGATGGGCTTGGAGAGGGGGGAGAAGAGACATCACCCTTGGCTGGAGGCACTGCTGACCTCACAGGAGACCCCGGCAGGACCCCAGGGCTCCAAAGCAAAATGACCTCATAGAATCATAAAATATCCAAACTGGAAGGGATCCACAGGGATCATGCARTCSAGCTCCTGGCCCTGCACAGGACACTCCCACAATCCCACCCTGTGCATCCCTGAGAGCATTTTCCAAACGCTCCCTGAACTCAGTGAAGTCAATGGGAGTCGCTGAAGGGTTGAGTTCCCATCACTTTCCCAGATCCTGATGCAGTCTCAGGGTAGATGTGTGCAGGGTCAAGCTCAGGTCTGAAAATCTTGGCTGAGCTCACGGTTCCTCCCTGGAATTTGGTCTTGGGCAAAGGAARCTGTAATAAGCACTTAATTTGTCAGCTCTTCAGAGAGGGACCTACAGAACCCACCCAATTTTCATTAAATCCTTTTACTGCTATTTCTTTCTACTAACCATTTTTTWATATAACCCTCACACTTCATTTGGACACATGCTCCGTGAGTCCATGCCAAATTTTAGGCTAAAGAAATAGCTTAAAGCAGGGCTKTAAAAATCCAGGCTAAGTCAGCACATTAGAGATTGAAAACCCCCACTTTTTTTTGGGGCTGTTTTTTCAGGTCGGAGTGCATGTTGCTTTAAATTTMATTTAAGCTGCTGCCAGCCAGACCTAAGCTTTTACTTTTATTCCTGGGAAAAATAAACTTCCTGGAACACGTTTTGTAWAAACAAGGAAAGGTTGAGCTTAGAGCTGAGCTAGCAAATCCAGGGAATTACGCTGCTGACCTCTGGCCCTCGGGATGCTCTCGGAGCCGGGGCCGAATTTAACAGGGTCCTGCTCTGGGGCTGAGGTGCCTCCCTGTGGTCTCTGGTCAGCACAATGGGATGGATGGGATGAATGGGATGGATGAGATGGAGGGKATGGAGGGGATGGGATGTACCCCCAGCTGCCAGCTTGGTCTGCTCAGGCTGGCACTGACACGGCCACATCAGGGAAAACAGAGAGAAATCCACAAACCCCACAGTTTCCAGGTGTCAGCCCTGCTGCAGGCAACATCTTTCTCCTACATTTCATCAAAACAGGGAGTCCTTTCCCAAGAATCCCTTTCCCACTGACTCCAGTTGTTAATTAGCAGTTAATTAATTGCCCTCCATGCCTCGCTCAGCAGCACCTCCCAGCCTCACCACATGGATAGGGACTTACAYGCTCAAATGAGAGAGAAAATTGGGATTTGCTGCAATTATTTCCCACATGGATCCCTTGTGGACAAACCCTGGGACTTGCAGAACCACGAAAAATTTAATTTCCTTACTCAGAGCAAGCAGCAACACCACWTTTAATTGCCAATTAATCGTGTGGCAACTGGAAATACAGCCAGCCCTGGGTAATGAGCCGGCAAATGGGAGCAGTGGGCGAGTGAGGGGTGTCTGGGACTGGCCCAGGGTGAACAGGGCTCCATTCCTTGGGCCCCCACAGCCCCAGCACGATCCCTGGGCTGGCTGCTCCCAGGACACAGGGCTGAGCTCCCAGGACACAGGGCTGAGCTCCATTCCGCTGCTTTGTCCCACTCCCAGAAAAACTGCACCACTTTATACTTGAGCCAGAGAAGTCTTTACCTCATCCCGTTGGAATTCCAAGCTGAGACACCTGTGGAACAGCCATGTTTGCTGTTGGAGCCAAGAACTGGCCCCATCACCTGCCTGGCACCTGCTTAGGGTGAATTTGGGGAGCTCAGAAACCTCCCCAATATCAGATCTGGAGAAATGGGCACAAGGGAGTGACTCATTCCATGGCACAACCACACTGAGCACCCGGGGCTGTCGTGCTCTGACCAGAGCAGGGATGTGTCACCACAGCCCAAAAGCCGTGTCCAGCACAGCCACCACCCTGCAGTGACCAGCTGAGTGACCAGCTCCATCCATCCCCTGCTTCCTCCTCCAGTACTGCAATTCCCACTTCCGTGGTTTAAATCTCTCTGATCTGCTGGATAAACTGCTGCAGGTTCATCCAGGCCCTCATGCAGGGCCTGGGGCTCAGTTCCTTTCCAAGACACCATAAACAATTCCCAGATCAATGTCCCCAGCCTCTGGAGCATCACAAGGAGGAACTGGGGTGCCCTCGGCTCTGATGCTCCCAGGAGCCATCTAAGGACACACTCACAGCTGACTGCAGCTGTAACACAACAGCCAYATTCAAAAATAACCTCAGTGCAATCTTCAATTAATTTATAACCTGGCAACAGCTCAGRGTTCTGGTTCTAATTAATCCTAGCCTTCTTTAATTGAGGGGCCGATTGCTGTGAAATGTTTGTTTGTGCTTCATCTGTTCCATCTCTGCTCAAAATCCATCTGATAATGGTTTGAACATTTAGACCCTGCTGGGGTTATTGGCATTTTTGTGTCCAGTGAGGACACAAACACTCACAGACCCAGCCCTGGCTCTGCTGGTACCGGAGCGCTTCATGCCAGAGGAGGGAGAGGCTCCTTGTGCTCCTCACAAAAACATGGATCGCTCCAGCCTGAATCCATCTTGTGCAGTAAAGATCCCTTAAAAYACAGGAAAGGGCTGGAGTTACATTTATGTCTTTCTGGGAGCCTTTGCCTGTGCATTTACACATCTGGGATTTCCTGCCATGTGAAAGTTTTGTTCCCCTTCATGCTTTGGCTGGAAACGTTTGTATTTCCAAGAGGCGTTTCCTGTCCTGGGCTGCAGCCAGAGCATTTATRTCATTTTTGATCCAGGATTTTACCATTTATTTGTGTGCTTCCTACACATCTCAGTGGTTATTCTGGTCCAGCCTTGGCTCCACAGCTCTCATCACCAAGCCCGGCACGGAAATTTTCCCCTGACAAAAACAGCCGGAACCGCACATCGTTTCTTGAGCAGGGCTGACTCATCATTTCCTAAATGCTGAATGCCCCATGGCCCTGCAAATGATCCAAAAAGCAGTGGATTCATGGCYAAAAACATTCTGATGGCCAACAGCACCAGTGCCTAAATCCCACTTAACCAGAGCCAATGCTGCTGCCTGYTCTGGAATAGGTGAGAGGAGGAACACGCTGGACACAGAGAGCTGGAAGGGTGGAATGGCTGCCCTGGGCTGCAGGGGTCACCTGCATGGATGTGTGGATCCAGCTCCTCCACCCCAGGCACCAGCTACTGCTGCCCCCCTGCCCACCCTGCTCCACCTCTCAGCCCTCCCTTTGTCCAACAAACCTCCTGGAGGTCCAACAATACTTTTGGTGCAGCCAAAGAGCTTTTCTTTTGCACAGATACATTGAAAAGAYGAAGCTGATGAATGAAGGACATGCTGATATCAGTGACACCTAATGACTCATTATTTTGCTTTCCCTATAAGTGCTATTAACCCTTGCAGCCCTCAGATTTCTGTCTCCCAGGGAACTCCCTGGTGCTGTGGGATCTCTCTCTGTGAGTGGGGGAGGAAGGAGAAGCCAAGTGAGTGCCCATGGTGTGGCCAACCACTATGGCTGCAGCCAGGGCAGGTAAGTGAAAAGTGGGTTAAAATGGGGCTAGCTCCCTGAGGCATCTGCTCAGACATACCTGAAGATACTGGAGAACTGCTCCTTTATGCCATTTTCTAATGCTGGGCCCAGTTTGTTTCACAAGTCTTGTGTTCTGGGACTTCACCACTGAACAGCTTCCTGAGGGCTCCATCACCRGGTATTCCCCTCTTCCTTTTCCTGAGTGAGGCCCCTTCACCCCACAGCATCCCTGGGGTGTCCCTGTGCTGGGTGACACTGCTGACTCCAACAAGCACATGCCAGCTCACACCCGTGCCAGTAAAACCCCGCTCAGTCCCTTGAAGGACGGATRCTCTGGACATTTATGGACAGTTATAACATTCCCATTTCACAATGAATTAGCCAAGGCAGCCTTGCACAATCCACGTACACAACACTCACTCCATCTTCCCCTCAGACTCCCCACACCGTTTTTCAGACCGGTTCTGACTGCTGCTCACCCGGCTCGGAGCTGTCACAGTCCTGAGGGTTGCAMTTCTGGGTGCTGTCTGGCCAGGGCTCATGGTCGCACAGGCTGCTGTCCTCCTCGGCCGCCCCCGTCCGCGTGTCGATGCACTTGACCTGGCGCCGCTGGATGCCCCCTCCGCAGGGAGCCGAGCACTGCGGGAGCGGGCCCGGGATCAGGCTGGGGGACCCCTCCCCGTGTCCCCACAGCCCCCGGCAGGAGCAGCCCCACTCACCGGCCCCCAGGAGCCCACGACCCAGGTGGTGCAGGGCTGTGTGTTGCAGGCCCGGGTGCGGTTGGGCCGCAGCATCTCCTCACAGCGCCCGGGCTCCGGGCATGTCACCAGGCGCGCCTGTTCCCCACCGCCACACGGCTCCGAGCACTGCGGGGCAAAGAGGGCATGGAAAACACTGTCAGGGGCTGGGGACTGCRGGCCCTCTGTCCTGCAGAGAGCTGGGGGGTTCAGCTGGAGAAAAGAAAGCTCCAGGGAGAGCTCAGAGCCCCTGCCAGGGCCTAAAGGGGCTCCAGGAGAGCTGGAGAGGGACTGGGGATGAGGGATGGAAGGACTGGACACAGGGAATGGCTTCCCACTGCCAGAGGGCAGAGTTAGATGGGATATTGGGAAGGAATTTTTGGCTGTGAGGGTGGGGGGACCCTGGCACAGGGTGCTCAGAGAAGCTGTGGCTGCTCCATCCCTGGCAGTGTCCAAGGCCAGGCTGGACGGGGCTTGGAGCACCCTGGGACAGAGGAAGGCGTCCCTACCATGGCAGGGGTGGAACGAGCAGCCCCTCCAGCCCCTGGCAGCCCCTACCTCTCTCCAGGAGGACGTGTACCAGGCCAGGCATGACGCGCTCTGGCAGGGCAGCCGTGCCAGGGGCTGGGGCAGCACGGCCTGGCAGTGGAAGGGCCGCAGCAGCCGCTGGTCCCTGGTGTCAATGCAATGGACGTCCCGAACCTTGGTCCCCCCGCCGCAGCTCCGGGAGCACTGGGGAGGACACRGCACCACACTGGGGAGGGTGACAGGGGCTGGGGCAGGGGGATCCCTCTGGGAAGGGGAGGTGGCCCCAGGGACAGGCCCTGCCTGGGCTTGAGCTGACACTCAGYCTCCTTTCCCCTCTTGCTCTAGGCCAAGCCAGAGCACAGGCTGTGCAGCTCATCTGTCACCACCACCCCTGTGACACCAGATGGCTTCCAGCCCTAACAGAAACAGCCTTTATGCATTAAACAACTGATGATCCCAAGGAACTCTGACCACCCAGAGTAGGGAGGGCTGTTCCTCACCACCAAACCTACTGAATTCACCCAACCCAGCTGCAAACATCCCCTGGCAGTGCAGAGTAGCTAGAGCATCGTCCAGAGACTGACAAATTATGGARTCACAGAATGGTTTGGGATGGATCTTAAAGATCATCTTGTTCCAAGCCCTGCAATGGGATGACACCCACTAGACCAGGTTGTCCAGCCCCACCCAAACTGGCCTTTCAAACCACTTTTTGTTTAGCTTTTTCAAGTTCCTGACTGTTTTACCATAGCAGGCAAAGTGAAAATATCATGGGATGAATAGTTTAAACTCTGCGGCAAGTGCAAACCTTAACCGCTGGCCTTGTGAGCCATGGAGCGAGAGCCCTCCCCGAGAGCCAGTGTGACCCCAGACCCGCCTTGTGCCGTGGGTTTTGGGGACCCGCCCTCCCCACACAGCCCCTTACCTTGCTCCAGTTGCCCACATGCCAGGCCGAGCAGGGTCTCAGGGAGCACCTGCGGGCGGGGACGGGCCTGTCGGCCTCAGCACAGGCACCATCACTGCCGCTGCTGCAGCGCACCGACCTCCACACCGCGCCCACACCACACGTGGCTGAGCACTGCAACACAGGCATCCTGCTGCCCTCATCCCACA